TATTACAGATAACTGTTATGATCACATTTAATGTTCAACGTCAATGTCTACGGTCTACGATCTATCGTACAACGGTTAAACTACTTCTATTTATACAAGATATTACGTATGGATATATTTGTTTCTTTACTAAATATGGGTAATTTACAATCAACGGAAAGCTATTAGGAACTATAAAAAATATTGTGATTATTGCACATAAGTATCTATTAAAATAATCATTTAGTTAGTTACACTTGACTTAATTATTTACTTATTACAGCAAGAATATGAGAGCATATCTTAACACCACCACTTGCTCTTATGTTCTAAGCATCTTACATTTTTTTAAATTTTTATTATTATTACTTTTATTCCTAAACTGATACTTACCTTTGGCCTTACTTATGCGCACTTTAAAATTTCTACCATACGTTTCCTAATGTTTTAAATGATGATCGTCCAGGTTGGTATAGTCCGGAGAAGGACTGTTTTTGTTGTTGTTGACTGACGTTTCAACAACCTTAGCGGTAGTCATCTTCAGAGTAAACGTCAGGTTAGCTGTATTTGTTATCTGGTTCTTACGTCATTGTATTGTGTGTACAGGAAATGTGTATTGTCATTGTGAATTAGTGTGAAGTGAATATTTTATTTTTAGTTGTGATGTATGATTTAAGTGTGATTGTTTTAGTTGTAATGTGTGGGTGTCAATTGTGTATTGTCATTGGGAATTAGTGTGAAGTGTAATGTTTTTAGTTGATCGTTTGTTTGTATTGTGAATAAGTCGTTTGTAAGGTGCCGGTAATTGCTGTGATCTGTTCAGGGGGGTTTTTTCCAAGTTGGTATGTAAGTCGTGGCCTATAGTTAGTATTGTAAGTAATGCATTTTGCCGAGTCCCAGTCAATGTTGTGCTTTGCGATTCGGTGATATTCGGCAATGTGATTAGTTTTGTCTTGTTTCTTAGTAGCTCGTTATGTGCGACACGTTTGTTGTATGGTCGTCAGATACGCGAGATAGTCTCAGACGTACCTTTGACGTAAGGTACTCAGACCACAACAACATAAACCAATCACAACGTTACGACAAGTACTAACGAACATAAAGGACAAAGAACAAGCCAACGAACGACAAGGTGCAGTTTACAAAATAAACTGCTCCGACTGCCACGCCTCCAATATCAGGGAAACTGGCAGGAACTTAAACATAAGACTTACTGAACACAAACGAGCTACTAAGAAACAAGACGAAACTAATCACATTGCCGAACATCACCGAATCACAAAGCACAACATTGACTGGAACTCGGAAAAATGCATTACTTACAGTACTGACTAAAGACAACGGCTTACATTAGAAAGTTGGTATACCAACTTGGAACAAACCCCCCTGAACAGATCACAGCAATTACCGGCACCTTACAAACGACCTATTCACAATACAAACTAACGATCAACTAAAAACATTACACTTCACACTAATTCACAATGACAATACACAATTGACACCCACACATTACAACTAAAAACATCACACCTAAATCACACATCATAACTAAAAATAAAATATTTCACTTCACACTAATTCACAATGACAATACACATTTCCTGTACACACAATACAATGACGTAAGAACCAGATAACAAATACGGGTAACCTGACGTTTACTCCTCATTTGACTCTGAAGATGACTACCGCTAAGGTTGTCGAAACGTCCGTCAACAACAACAAAAACAGTCCTTCTCAGGACTATACTAACCTGGACGATCATCATTTACAAACATGTAACGATACTCCCGGGTTCAAACCTTTACTTTAGTACGTTTCCTAATATTGTCTGCCTAAATTTTTCCAATTTGTGTTTGCTTGTTGGTTTTGTAAAAATAACTGCTACGTTGTCTTCACTAGGTACATATTTTAAGCTAACTCTTCCTTGCTGAATTTCTGATCTGATAAAGTGGTATGGATCTTTGATGATGAACTGGGTTTTTTGCTAGATTCATTGCTCCTTGATTATCCATTAAAAGAGAAGACTTACCTTCTATTATACTTACCTTCATATCTAAACAAACTTGCATTAAAAACTTCGCTTCTTGAATTGCATTTGCTAGGGCAATATATTCTGCTTCACACGTTGACAGTGCTACAGTTGGTTGTTTTCGATTCTTCCATGATATGAGAGGACTTAAAATTGTAGCGAGAGACTTGCCGAGCGGAAATCGAATTCGTGTGATAAAAATTAATGCCCAACCTAAAGTTTGATTAGAGCCATAGAAATAGACCAATGTTTCTGTTTGTTTTGTTTTTTTGGTCTATTTCTATGGCTCTAATCAGAACTTTATGTTGGGCATTAATTTTTATCACACGAATATGAGAGGACCTTGTGAAAGCTGAAAATTATAACCTGCAATACTTCGTCTATCTTTTATACACGCTCCCCAATCTGAGTCACAGAAACCTGTAAGTTTAAGTTGTGAATCTGATTTTTGAAAGACTAATGCAACCTCTTGTGTCCCTTTTAAATATCTTAAAACATGTTTGGCAATGGATAAATCTGCTTGTGTGAGTTCAGACATTTTCTGAGATACTTTTGTAACAATATAACATAAATCTGGTCTGGTTCCAGTCATCACATATATTAAGCTTCCTACGATCGCTCTATACAATTTTGGATTTGATAGTACCGGTGATTCTTCGCTCATTACTTTTTCAATTCCTAAAACACAGGGTGTCGGTTTTGGTTTGCAATCGGACATTTTAAATTTTGAAAGAACTTTCTGAATATAGCGTGTTTGATTCATCTTATAACAATTTTCACTTCTTTCAAATTTTGTTCCTAAGAACTATTTTAGTTCGCCTAGATCTTTCATTTTGAATCGATTGCTCAAAGAATCTTTTATACTGTTTTAAGAATGAATGTCGCTTGCAGCTACAATGATGTCATCCACCCAAATTATGACAATAACACATTGTTGACTATTAATATAACGAACATATAAACATGGATCTGCCAGTGACTGAACAAATTTTTCTTTTACTAAAAATTCATGCAACAAATTGTTCCAATTCCTGCCGCTTTGCTTAAGACGTAAAGTGATTTCTTCAATTTACAAACTATTTTTTCACCATTTTCACCTAACTTTTCATAGCCTTCTGGTTGATCAATGAAAATTTCACAATCAATAGGTGCGTTCACATAAGCGGTTTTGACATCCATTTGGTGAATGATCATGTCGTTGTTCACAGTGCGTTGTAGTAGTGTGCGAATAGACCTTTTCAAGGTTATCGCAGCCATATTGCAGGGGGTGCAAAAACATTTGGCCGAGCGCGCGGTCACGCATGGCGTCCATATAAATTACTAATAAATGCGCAAAAATTACCCTTATACATATTGGCCATTTCTTTCAAATATATTTCTCAAACTCGTCCATTTTAATAGTCGAATTATTATTTGCGATTTTTTATATATGTGAGTCCAGTTTTGTGGTAATCAAAAAGCGGAAAGTTAAAGAAAACATTTGTTTTCTTTGAGCGATGTTCTTGAGTTCGCAACACACGCACATGTCTACAGCAAAGTCAGCAAGTATCACGAGGAACTATTCTACGGCAAACTCTTATTAGTATTTCCAATTATTTGTAAAGTGATATTGCTATTTTTATTATTATGTATGGCGACTAAACAGCCAGAAGAAGAAACAGCCAAGTATTCAAATACTCACTTAAAACTGTTAATTGATGGCAGGCCGGTGTGAAACCTTATATCATACTCTCTCGTCAACTGTTCAAATTCCAAAGCGACAGGGACTAAAGATGCCTCAGATTTTGCTGGATTTCCATCAAAGCTTGAATCAGAATCCTCGGTGTCATAGGCTTGACGAGGACGCTTTGATGTCGTCCATGTTTCTCTTCCTTTACGTTTAAGCGGAGTTCTCGATTGCTCTTACTCCGATAGCGTAATAAAAACCGAAGGATAATCCATTCCGCAGTTATTTGTGGTTCTTCTTCCCAAGGGAAAATAATTTAAGCTAACGAAAGTACCTTGTGCACCAGGCTTTGGGTTAAAGTCATCGGCTCTGCTGTTTGCAATTTGTTTTCGCCAAATTTCAGCAAGTGCTTGATCTTTGGGCCACTTATGAAACACTAACTTTTCTACGTGAGACCTCTTAACTTGATAATCAGGGTAGCCTTTATCATTATCGCAATATCCAACTGCACAACGCGCATTTTTTACCATTTCGGCTATGACTGCTCACGGCTACTCGGCTAGTTTAGGGTTTAGTTCGTTGGACTTCGCTCATGAGTTCCTAACATATGCGAAATTAAGAACATCGCTCAAACTACGGTCAAGTTGTTCAAAGAAAACAAATGTTTTCTTTAACTTTCCGCTTTTTGATTACCACAAAATTGGACTCACGTGTATAAAAAATCGCAAATAATAACTCGACTATTAAAATGGACGAGTTTGAGAAATATTTTTGAAAGATATGGCCAATATGTATAGGGGTAATTTTTGGGAATTTATTAGTAATTTATATGGACGCCATGCGTGACCGCGCGTTCAGCCCATTGTTTTTGCACCCCCTGCAATATGGCTGCGATAGCCTTGAAAAGGTCTATTGAACTCATGCGTGCTGTGGGTGCAAATGTTTCTTGATAATCAATTTCCTGAACTTGAGAGTAACCTTTGGCTACAAATCTGGCTTTATACGTTTCCGCCTCGTTTTGATCTGTCTTAACCCATTTCGCCCCCACTATTTGTCTATCCTTTGGTTTTGGTACAAGCTCATATGTATCATGTGCTTCAACAGCCTGTTTGTATGTTAATGGAATGTCCTCAAGCCTATAACAGTAGTCTATTGTAAGACTTAAATTGTTGTTTGTTTGGTTTTGTCCAAAATAACTTGGTTTGCTTCCTTCTCGTATGGGATATCTAACTAGTTGTTTTTGTTCATGCTGCCCTTGTGCGTGCGTGTCACTACTTAATTCAGGATTGTTTGTTTTTGAAAAATCTTTTTGTTCTTTTAAATTGTTTGGCTTTTCTTCTGTTTCATTCATACTATCTGCATTTTGTATTCTATCTGAAATCATATCGTCGATATCATTTATTTTTCCTGCCTGAAATTTATCATGGAATTTGACACATCGTGCTTTCTCTACTTTATTTGATTCTGAATAATAAATCAAATATGCCGGACTTTCTTTGTCATAACCAACAAAGATTCCTTTTCGACCGCGATTGTCTACCATTTTGGCATTTTGTACATATGCATAACAAGTGGATCCAAATACATGCATGTTGCTTAAGTTTGGTGTCTTACCAACCAAAGCCTCGAAGGGCGTTTTTCCTAAACGTGAGTTGAAACACCTGTTTCGAATGTAGACTGAAGTCATCACAGCATAAGTCCACAAATATTTGGGTAGCTTTGCCTCTAATAACAGACATCTTGCCATATTAAATAAAGTTTGCCATGCTCTTCCTACTGTGCCGTTTTGATACGGAGAATAAGGTGCACTTGTCTCATGTTTGATACAATTATTTCTTAACAAAGATTTGAATTCTTCATTAACAAACTCATCTCCGTTGTCGCTTCGTAGTCTCTTAACTTTGCCATAAAGTGCAGCGTCAGCTAAGAAACTTTTCGTAGCCTCAAGTGTATCACTTTTCCTTCTCAAGAAATAAATCATTGTTATTCCTGTAAAATCGTCAACAAATGATAAAGCATATTTAAAGCCGTCTTTAGCAGTAGGCTCAATTGGCCCAGCTAAATCACAATGAACAAATTCTAATGGATATTTTGCTCTCAGATCTGGCTCCCTATTTCTGGTTTGACACATTTTGCTTGGGTACATACTTCACATTCTATTTCGCTATAGTCAGTAATCTTCATGCCTTTGACTACCTTTTCTAGTTTTCTAATGTCTCCATAATTACAATGACCTAATACTTTGTGCCAATCGTGTAGTGTCGTTGCTGTGTTGTTTGGCGAAGAAATACTATTTAAGTAATATAATCGACCTTTCTTCTCAAGTTTGAATACGCTGCCTTCCTCTGTTTTGTATTCACCTACTTGTTTTCCTAATTTTATTGTGCCTCCTCTGTCTATTTCTGCTGATACTGAAAAGATATTTTGATTGTACGTCGGAATATAGAGCGCGTTATGCAAGATTATATCATGCAAGTTACCCTTAACATCAAATAACCTTAGTATTTCCCTTTCCTAATACAACATTAGCTCTACTCCCATAAGCTAATTCAATAAAATGAGTATTGCTATCAAAGTTTTCATCAAAACTTTCAAATTTGGAACTGTCATTAATTATGTGACTTGTTGCTCCCGTGTCCACTAACAAGTCTGTATCTCCTTGGCTTCTTCCTCTTCTGTCTTTGTACTCTGGTGTTGTGAATGAAAATGAATGCTCGTCTTTTGTTGTTTTCTCCTTAACTTTCTTTACTGTGTCCTTCTTCGTTGTCTTGCACTCATTTGTATTGTGAGTCTTGCTTTTGCACTTGGCACACCATTTTCCGTTTTTCATCCAACATTCTGAACTTTTATGACCTTTCTTGCAGCACGTAAAACATTTCCCCTCAAATCGTTGATTCTGTTTTGAAAACATAACTCAATCGGTTTCATCTTTTTCACACGATTTTTCGTTCTCGTCGTAATCTCTCAACGTCGTTTTGAATTCACTGAAAGTCATTTGTTTTTCTTTTTGGATGACCACAGTTGCAAACGTTTTATAATTTTTTGGAAGCCCATGCAGAACCATTGCAATCAGCAGCCAATCGCTTATAACTTCCTCAGTAGATTGTAAAGCAGTCGCTGCAGTCTCAGCACGTACCACAAAATCAGTCGTGGTTTCGTTTTCCCCTTTCTTTAACGAGGTCAATTCTGTATGCAAAGCGATGATTCTTGGCTTTCCTTTGCCTTGGTAATGTTCAAGCAGAACACCAAGCGCTTTTCTACAATCGTCTCTTGCCTCTCTTATAATAAGAGACAAACTCCGATCATCCAGACATTGTACCAATTCAGCGAAGGCATTTGCATTCCTCGCCTCATCCAGTCCTTCCTCGTCTCGACTAGGAACGAACACATCGTACAGTTTCTGTATTCTCATAAACGAAAGAAACTTCACCTTCCAGAGTTCATACTTGGCTTCATCTCCATTGAAGACAATTCCTCTCCTGGGCCCATAACCTGTTAGGTTTTGTGATGTAGCCATCTACCTTCTTTAGTATATATTGACTTACACCAACAAATAGAGATATTACAGATAACTGTTATGATCACATTTAATGTTCAAGGTCAATGTCTATGGTCTACGATCTATCGCACAATGGTTAAACTACTTCTATTTATACAAGATATGACGTATGGATATATTTGTTTCTTTACTAAATATGGTTAATTTACAATCAACGGAAAGCTATTAGGAACTTTAAAAAATATTGTGATTGTTGCACATAAGTATCTATTAAAATAATTATTTAGTTAGTTACACTTCACTTAATTATTTACTAATTAAAGGAAGAATATGAGAGCATATCTTAACAAGTTCAATTCAAATATACATCAGTTGTGTCCAAAGGAATCTTGAATGGTTGATGTTTGTTATGTCTGTGAATATATGTACGCAAACTTAGAGACTGTGAATCTATGACACTTAGTTACTGGAGAAAAGCAACTTTACGATGGTTGGAAAGTGTAAGTAACGTAGATTATCTTACCGTGCATGTCTTGTAATTTATAAACTGTATCTTTAAATTTTCCAGAGCATGAAAATTTTACGCCCTCTAAGCTAATAATAATTCGTTATATTAACATCGTATTTCTTTCATTTATGATACCAGTCGAATATCATAATTTCAACAATACTGGCGAATTATTTTACTCAATAAAAATACCCATAACTTGATCTAATATCTTAATTTTGACAGTAAGCGCTAATCCAAACTTGCTGCCTATTATTGTACGATTTGACCAACTGGGTGTATCACAAAGTATAACTTACAAACTTCAAGTATGTCATTTTCAAATGCATTTGACAATAGACAGCGATATTCAATCCAAATTATCCAATAATATCTTGTAAGTGGCAAGTTACCAACATATCTAGTTGTGTCCAAATAGTTATTGAATGGATAATTGAGTTGAAAGACTAGATAACTATAGAACTATATATACGGTTGCTAATTACAGAACTATATGGTTATTGAGTATAAAGCTATAGGGTAAAGATATATGTATAACAAACACAAATCATGAATTTTCGCAGCGCTAAGAATATTTTTGTGGTAAGAGCAGAGAATGTTGATTACTAGAGCACATTCAAGTGTGCTTATACAGAAATAAAGAATCCCAGAGAATTCAGCACAAACTTTTGTTTCTACGAGCATCTATTTTTAAAAGTGCGAATCTACTCAGTTTACCCGCCACATTTAACCTGCAACTTGCGACATTATAGAGACACGTTTTTGCGTAATGCTTTAACACATTTAGGTTTACTTTCCTACAATTTGGCACATTGAACAATTTAAACAAAAGCACACAATGTTGATGCAAAATGTTTTTTCATGTTAATTTGCTAAACACCGCCACTTGAAAAGAAATAAAATTTTAAGGAGATCCTTGTTTTATCCCCTCATCGGTACCGCATCCGTGCCATCCGTATCCGTATCCATGCCATCCGTATCCGCGTTTTATCCCAACCCACCTGTCCACGTTATAAGCTTTGCAAAACCATTGGTAAAAACCCACTTGTTTACAAAAGCACTTGACATGTATTTTGTTTCACATTGCCAATTTTGTAAAAAACTATCGTTTACAGATTTCAAATTTATGGTTTTTAAAACAATTAGACAACCAAAAAACTGTATTGAATCGCATTAAGTTTAGCAAAAACATTTACGAATGAAAAATTGCGATGAACTTTATTTTATGGTAACGTTCCAAAACGGCAGTGCTGGCTTATGTCCAGTAAAGGATGCCAAAAATTTGTCATACTGTCATAATTCGCATATAAACTTTCCAATCGGTGATGTGGCGGAAACAATGAACATCCGGTGACATACAGAAGTGACCTTTATTTTAATAACACGAGTCTGGTTCGCTTTCAGACTTTCAGAATTTCAGACTTTCGCATGGTTGGCTCAATTTTCAATACAGACAGAATACATCTATGTTACCAGAAGTAAAAGAAAATGGTGCAAGTTTGTGTAAGAAGGCATTCGGACTCACAGTTTTCCCGTGCTATACACGAAGCCATAAAGAAGGTCTGTTATCAAAAACAATGCCCCAACGAAGAACGTATTTTGCGTTTCGTTTTACGGGAGTTCGATTGGAAAGCCTGTGACATATCCAAGCAGCTGAGGTTGGCCGTAAAGGATGGTTTATTTCGGGAGACTATTGCCATTTCCCATAAGGGAAGCAAAAAAGGAAACGAACAGCAGTCATTTCGTATAAACTTGACATTAGATGCCGTGGACGCGGATGGAAATTCTCAACTTAAGGAGGTAAATGGAATTTTTAGTGCTTTAAATCCTTTAAGGTGCTGCCCTTTTGGTATTTCAGCAAAGGGAAAGCAACACCGTGAGATTTTAGTTGGAAATCAACACTAAACAGACTTATTTATAGATTTTAAAGGTATCATTACAGGATGCCAAATGTATAAATATTTTTGATTGCTATTGAGCCATTGACGAATGCTTGCCGAAAAGGCGTCTCAATCAACTGGTAATGACTGTAGTATCGTAGAGGAGTCTGTCAGATTTGATTGATTTGATGCATAACTGCCACGCGTTTATGATTTTACAATCAATCGCTGTGATGGCAGACGGGTAACCACCCCCGTGGTTCATAGAAACATTACAAAAATTGAGGGGGGGCTGGCTGAGCAGGACAAAGTGAAGGAATGTTTTTTTTATCATTTTGATAAATTATGCATAACTTTTGACCAAACTTGCTATAATTTGATCATCTTCACTATGCCTTTAATGTTTTTGTGACTGAAAGCTATTGAAGTACCTTCAATTTGTCAGTGTTGACCCTTTGTAGAGTTAACATTTGAGAGAGATATTAGACATTATTTCTCCAACAAAAAAGCATGCTTGACAGTAAGATTGAATAGCATATTTTTAATTTAATTGATGAATACTTCGACTACATGGATTATACATTTTAACTATATTGGGTAAATTTACAAAGTGCTATTTTCTGGTACCTGCTGTTTATAGTAAATTACTGTTCTTTTGTATTTTTTAAAATACGCAGTGGTTTTGTTAAATCAAGATCCTTTTGTTTTGCTTATAACATTATAATTTTGTAGAATGTGGGTTTTATCGGATTGTGCAGGTTAATTAAGAAAAGCAACTAGAAATAGTTGCAAAATTCATTTGCCTAACAACTTAACAGTTAGAACTTAGAAGGGCTCAGTTGGGAGTGGTGATTTGGAACTCGTTCTCCATTTTGAGCATTTTTGTTCATTCTTGTGCATTCTCATTTGTAAAAACGTCCTTAAAGTGAGAAATCGTTTGAATTTCATTATAATAGTTATGATAATCTCACACCAAAACAAGTAATTCCATTAATTCAACATTGGCAATGTAAATGCTAGCTGCAAAGCCAGCATTTACATTGCCAATGTAAATGCTGGCTTTGTAAATGCTCATTTTCTACTCCTACAATGAAAATGTTTTTGTTTTCATTTACTTGAAAACAATCAATTTTGTTATTCTAGAGAATTGAACAATATGTAAGTCTCAAACTGATTTGCAAAATTAAAGTGAGATTTGTAATCTGCTAGGAAATAAACTTTTGATGTAAATACTTTTTCATGTGATTTATATGCAATAAATAAGCATGCTGTAAAATAAGAAAAAGCCCCTTCACATTTGTAAATTTGAGATAAACCCTGCGTGTTAAGATGCTTTGGTGAGAGATTTTGTGTGAGAAAATGCAGAGTTTGATTCCTGGCTTTCCGATGAAATGTTAATTTTTCTTGATTGACTTTACATGTACATGTACTTGATGTTATGTAGAAATCATAGGGGGACTTGAGTAAGAGTTTTATTTGAGCCATGTCGCATATTTCATTTGATCAATTATGGAGATGCCCGTATTAAATCATATTTTAGAATTTAGATTTAACCATTTTTGCATGTTTTTGCCAACGGATTAATGTGATTTGCAATTTTAGTGGAAGTGCTAAAATTTTCAGTCATTGTTCAAAGCCGCATTATGGGAGGTACATACCTCCTTATGCTTACTGTGCAAGCTATTCTGATTACCAAGATAATTACTCTGTAAAGTTAATGCATTGCATTGTGTTAGCTTGAAGATGTATTCCAAATCCAACATACCCAGTAATTTTTTGCGACAAATTTGTAATTTCAGCTTGTCCTGTTCAATTTGTTTGACACAGTTAAACCTGTTATTTACTGATATGGAGTAGGACAAACAGTAAGCTAATATTCCAGGTCTTGTATTAGAGAGCTGTCTAGTGTCTAGGTTTCATATGTAGGAGCAGTATTAAAATACATGCATCTTATAAATTTGTTTATGTTGAAAAGATGAGTCTTAGTATCTATTATAACGATTTTTGTACGTGAAGGGCGCCGTGTTACTCATATCCTTATGAAACATATAATGAAATTTATTACATTAATTACATTCTAACCGCCAAAGTTTATTTTTCCTACTGTTTCATTGGTCGAGATTGTGTCACGTGAGATTGAAGAATTCAAGGTGTTTCCTCGCAATCGGCTTGAGAGTGTATTAATACGTTTCCGACAGGTAAATAACAAAAAGTCGCTTTTGGCATCACGTGAAAATTTGACCTTTGCCCGAGTTTGGTCAGCATCTGATGTCAATCAAAAAAGCGCAAGAATTTTCATTTTTTTGCGTACAACAAAAAACTTATTGACTGAAATTTCGGTAAGCAGCTTATTATCTTTATCCTCGTCCGTCATTGTTTCCTTCGGCTTCGCCACGGGCATCAACGAAGATGTCGGGTAAACAAAGCAAAGACTGTTTTCCTCGTTCTCATACAATAAGTGTGAAGTGTATATTACGGATTTTCGGAACTAAAATTAATACTCGGATTTTCTTAAAACGTTTCTCCACACAAAAACACAGCTAAAGATGCCTGTTTGAAAAGGCTTTTAAAGTGCTTATCTCACAATTTTTTTTTTCGAATTTTCTGATTGAGGTAAAAAAATCATTGTAAAAGTTATTTTACAATTTTCTGATTAATGGCTTCGTTTATGGAGATAAATGCGTTTCTTTTCTCAAAATCGGCAATAATGGAGAAAATTGCTGCCGGTTCAATTTGCTTGATGAGAGCCTGAATCGAGAAGTATGTGACGTAACATAAGGACAGGAAGTTTTTCTGAAGTGTGATTTTTGCTATAATTTCTACTTTACCTACTACGGCTCTGCATCAAAATGCCTGATAGATGTGCAGTTTTCGGCTGTTCAAACCGAGCAAATTCTGCGGAAGGAATTTCTCTTCACCGTATACCATTTTACGGTGATGAGCGTCCTGAAGCGAAGCGAAGACGTAAAATCTGGGTGAATTTTGTTGCAAGAAAACGCGCTCGATGGACACCGACTAAGTATTCGACTGTTTATTATGGTGATGGCAAAGTAATTTGGACAAAGTTCAAATCTTTCCTGAGTCACATAGTAGACAAGGACACCAATTTGGATGATCCACTGTTTTCAAGTTGTTTTCATGGCCCTGATATTCAAACAAGGGAATATTTGTTAGAAGGTTTGTGAAGGCATTATTTAAAGATAACTTCCCTAACAGTTTATCATTAATCTTTGTTGTAATGTTTAAGGTTCAGTTGCTCACGAAAAGCTTTGTGCTAAATTGTTATACCCACAGCTGATGAAGTCAATTCAACAGGCTTCACCAGTTGCTCAAACAAGTTGTTTGGAAGGATTCCATTCTGTCCTGAATCACTTTGATCCAAAAATGATTCATTATTCCTATGTTGGAATGTATTGCAGGTGGGCGAAAATTTCCTATATGACAATGTTGGTTGTTTTGCAACTTCCACAAGTCTTTATTGTTTTAGACACATTTTGGCATCCATCCACTTCAACAACAACTTAAGGCGTGATGTAAAGATGAAGAATGATGGCACTTTCCAAATAAATGTGGTGTATCCAAAGTTTAAAAATGGTGAAGGAACTGTGAGGGATGTCAGAGTTAAGCCCAAATTTGGTAAGTTGTTGCTAAATGTGTTGCTTTGCATCATTTCATAGTATTGAATACGACAATAATTTCTTTTTAGAGTATGTGGAAGAATTATTTGAGAGTGTGATGCTGTCAATAAAAGACAAAGACGCATTATCAAATTCACAAAATCTTTTGAAAGAAATGTCCCCACCACCAATGAATGTCATGCTGCAAAAGCAACCCAGAACCTTTTCTTTCCACGACTTCACATGGCTTACCATTATACGGTGTTTGTTGTTTATTAGCGGTCGTATCTTTCTTTACTAACACCATATCACCTACTTTAATCTCACTTGTCTTTACGTTCCTGTTATTGTCTGCTTGTAATTTCATCTTCAATTTTGCTTTTTCATCCTGTACTCGAATTCTTTCCTCTGTATCCACATGAAATGGTACTTCAGGTAAACGTACTTTCATTGGTCGACCGAATAAAGCCATCGATGGAGAAATTTTGATCGAACTATAAGGTGTGGCACGATAATTACGCAGGAACATGTGGAGTTCTTGCTTCCAATTTTTACCCTCCATTATCGCAGCCTTTATTGTCTTTTTGATAGTGCGCATAAATTTTTCCATTTTCCCGTTGGCTCGTGGCCAATAAGGAGTAACTTTTCTGTGTTTAAATCCCAAATACTTTGAAAACTCGTAAAATTCCTTGCTATTGAATGGCGGTCCATTGTCTGAACGTATCGTATCCGGTATCCCAAACTCCGAAAGGATCTTATCCAAACAGGGTATAACAGTCTTTGCGGACGTTGATCGAATTACTTCTACAATGGGATATCTGGAAAAATCATCATACAAAACAAACAAATATTCACCTGTGCCTGTAGGAGCTACACCAAAGTCCTTACTTAGCTCTTTCCAAGGAGATCTTGGCAACTCTGACATTTTCAATGGTTCCTTTTCACTGACTGGAGTTGTAATCTGACAGGCTAAATACGATTTAACTTTTCGATTAACTAATTCATCTATTCGTGGAAACCATACCTTTTCACGTAATAACGCTTTCCTTTTTGACATTCCCATATGACCTTCATGAGCAATGTTCACTACTTTCTCTCGTAAACTTTCTGGTACGATTATTTGATGTTTTCGTAAAATTATACCCGAAGATATGCAAAGTTCATCTTTAAGTTTCTCATATGAATTAAATTCTGCTTGATTTACTCCTACCATCTTTGAACTCTCAAACCATCTACCTGTTTCAATGGTTTGAATTACTGCTCGAAGAGTAATGTCTTCTCTTGTAGCTTCTTCCAGATCTTTCCTGCTGATTGTTCTTGGAACCGAGTTCTGTGTAACGTAATTAACAAATTCTTCTGCTACTTTCTCTTGCCGTTTAGTTTCTCATCAGATAAGGGATGACGTGAGAGAAAATCTGCAGGATTTTCAGTTCCAGGTTGAAAACAGATTTCAAAATCATATCGTTGCAATCGCAAAGCCCATCGTTCTAATCTCGCAGATGGCTTTGATGATGGATTTGTGTATATTTTCACCAGCGGCTTGTGATCAGTGACGATGGTGAATTTTCCTCCAAACAAATATAAATGAAAATGTTCGCAGGCCCATATATAGCTAAAGCTTCTCTTTGCAAGTGAGAATAATTTTTCTCTGTGGTAGTTAGTGATTTACTAGCGTAAGCAATTATTTTTCTTTTTTCTTCTCCCTTTTTCCTTTGCGCCAAGACTGCTGCAATACCAACTAGACTAGCATCTGTGAAAACCTCCGTATCACTATTCGGATCGAAATACGCACTTTCTGGCCCATCTGTTAATGCTTTCCGTAGGGCTTTCATTGTGTCTTCTTGTTCTCTTGTCCACACGAATGGGGCATCTTTCTTGATAAGTCGACGTAACGGCTCCGTAATTGTGGCATAATGGGGAATAAATCGACAGCAAAAATTGATCATGCCTAACAAACTTCGTACTTCTCCTAAATCTTTAGGATTCGTGCATTTCTTAATTGCTCTCACTTTATTGGGATCCGGTATAATACCCTTCTCTGAGAACACATACCCTTGGAATATTAAACTTCTTTTCTTAAACAGACATTTATTCTTCTTAAGAGTTAGTCCTCGATCTTTAATTCGTTTTAATACCGCGTTCAAATTTGCATCGTGATCTTTCTCGTCTACGCCAAACACCATAATGTCATCACTGATATTAATCACTCCTCTCAGTCCACTCAACGTTTCTCTGATGGCATTTTGGAATATCTCTGCAGCACAGTTTATGCCAAAATTCAAACGTCGAAATCTCCGTAGACCAATGTGTGTTAAGAAGGTTGTCAATTATCTTGATTCTGCATCGAGCTCTAACTGGTTATAGCCTTGATTTAAGTCCAATATGCTAAACCATACTGCACCATTTAGATCACTTATAATTTCACCAATCGTCGGAGTCAAGTGTCGTTCTCTCTTTATTGTTTTGTTTACTTGTCGCATATCTATACAAACTCGGACCTCCCCTTTTTGTTTTGGTACGACCACGACTGGTGGAACCCAAGCTGTTGGTCCATTCGTTTTCTCTATGACTCCGCGTTCTTCGTCTCGTTTTAACTGTTTCTCCAAGTCTTTTCTCACATGAAACGGCACCCGACGATGAGGTTGTGCGACAGGTTGTACGTCCTTATCTACGTGTAGATGAACTTGAAACCCTTTCAATTTTTCCAGTCCTTGAAAGACTTCTTGATATTTGTTAATTAGCTCTTCCACTTTGGTATCTTCTCTCACGTTTTCTTGTGCCTTTTCTTTAACGGGTTCCTGTTTAGACTTCGTAGTGCCTTCTATGGATGCAACTATTTGTACCAGCCCCAATTTTTTTGTAGTATCTTTCTCAGGATCAAATCATATTTCTTTGTCGCCAGATGTAATATTGTGAGATTCCCCTCCGTTTATTGCTTTGTCATTTTACTTTTATACAGATCTTTACTTAATTATAATATACGTAATATGACGTACGAAATACTAATAATTTACATAATAACTATACTACACTGACCTTCACTCGTGACCAGTTGGCTTAATATGTTCCTCCTGGATGCGTGGGGTTGAAATACTTTGGCACAGATGTAATCTGTGCTTTATGTTGAACGTGTTTGAGGCTTAGTTCAAACGGCGAACTTCTCATGTGCCGTGCCAAATTACTATTAAGTTCCGCAGAGCACGGCAAAATAAGAATTTGATTCAAACGTCGATTTTAATTCAGTCGAACTTAATTCCTTCATATGACCTTTCGTTCCTTTACGTCAGCGTTTATACAACGCGCATGCTCAAATAAATAGCGGGATTTTCAATATGGCGAAAACAAAAATAGCACAAAGACATCATTTTTATGCGACATATGCTAGAGGTGCCAAAAATCGAAGGAGAATGCTTGATTCTTTTATTCAGTTATTGATTAATAGAAGAATCATGGCAATCAGAGCTGCGATCACCCTGATTCTGTGTTTATTCTCGCAAAACCCGCGTTCAACATCAATAACGCCTCGATCATGTCGGAGACTTGCTAGAAATAAAGGATGGTGGAATCTTGTTTGGGTTAACTATTCTGCAGTGAGATTCAAGAAAACGTTTAGAATATCTCGGGAAACGTTTCTGTTTATTCTTGCTCGCCTAAGACACGTACTCGAAAAGAAAAACATAGTTGAAGAGCCCGTTCCTCCAGAGGTTCGACTAGCTGTTTGCTTGTATCGCCTTGGAAGAGGAACATATTATTATACAATTGCAGAATTGACTGGGGTTGGTGTTTCCACCGTATGTTCTATTACTGATGAAGTTTGCAAAGCCATCGTTGAACATCTCTGGGACGAATTTGTCAAACAGTTAATGCCACAGTCTGAGCAAGATTTTAAAGATTCAATGATTGATATGGAACACTTTTGGCAGTTCCCTTGTTGTTGGGCAGCCCTTGATGGTTGCCACATTTCTATAAAGTGCCCACCAGGTGGTCAGGAAGCAAACAAAGAGTATCACAACTTTAAAAACTTTTATTCTATTGTTCTTATGGCATTGGTTGACTCCCACTATAGATTTATTTGGGGAAGCTGTGGCTACCCAGGTAACTCACACGACTCTATTATTTTTCAATCCACACAGCTGTGGGCTAATATTCCGGAAGGAAACTATTTGCCAGCAATTGGGAAAGTAATTGGTCAGCAAACAGTCCAGCCACTTATAGTTGCTGACTCTGCTTTTCCATTTACCAAAAAGCTTATGAAGCCTTATACAGATGCTGTCCTTTCTGAAAGGAAAAGGTATTTTAATTACAGACTAAGCCGTTCACGAATGGTGACAGGGGGTGCTTTTGGACAGCTTAAAGGTAGGTGGCGTGTGCTGTACAGAAAATGTGAAAGTAATAGAAAAAGTGTCAGAATGACTGTCCTGGCTTGCCTGGTCCTCCATAACATTTGCTTAATGAAGAAAGATACTATCTCAAAAAAATTGGATCTTTCACAAGACCCTGGCAAAAGTGAAACGCGAGATAGAGATTCAGTAAGAGAATTGCTACAAATGAGAGCATGTCCTAAAGTCAGGGATACTTCCAAAGAAGCAGCTGATATAAGAAATGCTTTGGTGGAAAAACTTTGGTTTGAGAAGGAGACTGGAGAAGTGGTTTAATTTTTTTGTCTTTTGAAAAAAAAAGTTCATTTTCATATATTGAACAACACATTCATAAAAAATTAATTTTTTGGTACTTTCTAATTCTCAATCTTAACTAATGTGATTATATAATGCTTTATTGTGCACAAATAACATTTGATTTGAACATTTTGATAGTATAACAACATAAAGTTTGTGTAGCAATTAGTAAAAAATATCTTTATTACTTGAAATGTCTTTATCAACAACACAACTGAATTATAAGAACTGAATTATATAAACATTGCTAGTGCTTCAGGGCATAATAAATGCCATAATATGTTATTTTTATTCACATACATAATTTCTATAAAGATTGGTATTGTTTGAGATCATAGTCTGAATGACTATTGCTAAAGTTTGGAGTGCCTGCTGAATGACTTTGGGTTGGTAATTGATACTGCGGAAGATTAGCTGATGAGTGGATATTCGGTTCTTGTTGAAAATTTGGTATTGGTTGAAAGTTTGGCGTTGGTTGAATATTGGGTTGTGGTGGAAATGGTGAGTTATATTGATGTGTTGACCAGGAATGATGTGCACCATTTGACGAAGGTGGACAATTAAGAAAAAGCTTGGTCATTTCAATTTCATGCTTTCTTGCTACTTCAGCTTCATCTTGCTTGAAACGTAGCAACTCCTTGGATGGATCATTGTCCACCATAGTCTTTAAAAGAGCTATAGCTTCACCAACATTGTCTTTTGTTGACAATTTTCTTCTCTTCATGGGAACAAATGATTTTTTCACACTATCTTCACCTTCTTCCAACTGTCTAATTTCTTCCTCTTCTTCAAGGTCAATCAGAGAAGGATTACCACTGGAGCTAGAGCTACTGATATCACTTGAAAATGAAGGTTCTGTTGCCATCTCAGGTCTGCAAGAGTTTCTGGATTGAGCAAGCTGAAACAACTGCTTGAACCATATACCATAGCCTTTGCCTTCTTGGAAACGTTTTATGCCACTAGCAGTTTTGATGGTCATTGCAGCATGTTTGCATTCTCCAATGCATGTCTTAAATTTATTACGCATTTGAGACGCAGTAAAGTCGATGTTTTCTTTTCTTTCATGGCACCTTGCTTTAAGCTCTGTCAAAATATTTTCGTATATATTACCATTCTTTTGGTTTTTTGTATTCGTGAAAATTAACTTTTTCTTGTAGTAATCACTGTTAGCAACAATATCGATTAAATCATTTAGAACGTTCTCGGTTCACAAGGCTTTCCTGCTAGCTTTCTTTTTTGAACCTTTGTCATTATCATTAACTTCAGATTCATCATCAGTTGAGCCACTACAAATAAAATATTGGTCCAAATATTAGTACGAATACGGTATATTAAATAAAAGAAAATCGTAATATTTCTTGGGGCTTTAACAATAATTATTTACGTCTAAACTTTTTCTTCCAATCAACGGAGAGGGTGTTGAAGTTTCTCGGCTTTCAGCGTAAAAAGTATTTGAATTATACGGATTGGAATGATTTTCCATCTCCGGTGATTCGACTGGATGCTTATCGGTGGTAGAATTCCCTTCACAATTTGGGCAATATCCAACAGATACTCGAGCCAGTTTACTCGGGTTTAGATCATGGATTGAGTAGGATATGTACGCACGAATAGGGTGATAACGCTACTCGTTTCACGTCGCTTTTTTAAGTTCGGCACATGAGAAGGTCGCCGTTTGAATTGACAACGTGCCGTGTCGAACTTAATACATTAGGCACGGCAAGCCCAGCCGAGCTATATCCTTGAGTCGATCAAAATTAAAACCGCCGAACTTAATTGATTCACACGTCGTGCTTGTCATGTACTTAATGCGTTTTATTAAGTTCGGCACATGAGAAGTTCGCCGTTTGAACTAAGCCTGAGATAACTTATGGCAGGAATGATCGTTTCTTCAAGTGTGCGCGTGTAAAAATCTATCGCTTCACAAGGTTTTACAAACACTCGTGCAATGTATCTGCAAATGTGATGTATTTATGACTCATTATAACGGTTATTAAAAGTTACGAACTGAGGGATTTCGATTTAGACTTAAGTCATTCTCAGACTCAGCTCAAAAAGCAAGTGCATTGCATTGTGAAGTTTCCGTCAATTTAGAAAATTTATACACTCTTATATACTACATGAAGCTATGATGGAAGAAACTTCAATGTTAGTTGTCCCTTTAATAGCTTGTTGCCGTGCATAAGAATAATGATATCCAAACTCTCCATTCTTATTATCCGCGTTTTTGCTTATTCTTGTTCTTACAGCAGTTTATAGCAAGTGAGGACACTGATGTTTATGTTTATGTTTATGCTTATGTCACAAGGACCACCACACTAAAATAAATGTCATTTATTTTTTTCTCCTGTAGAAAGCCAAAACGCACGATTGGTATTGTTTTGATTGTCAAGAACCCGGTGAAGTGATCTTGTGTGATTTTTGCCCTCGCGTGTTTCACGCTAAATGTGCCAGCAATCCTCCAAACCATCACGATGCATGGAAATGTCCATCATGTAAGGTAAGCGTAATTGTAGTTAAAACGTAGAGTAACACTGAGGGTCTGCTTCTTTAGAGTTGATGTATCCACTTCGTATGATGTGCTTCCTAAAAGATGGTGTCTCTGTTTTCAATATGACTTAATAAATATGTCTGCGTGTCTTAGGCCCTGTTTACATGAGACCGGGACGAAGTCAAATGGGTGCCAGCTCGTGTCGGTTATAGTATTATTTACAGTAGATGCCTACACGGGACCGTTAGGAAAGTAACTGAGAGCGGTCTGAAGTTGTACCGTCTGCTGAAGCAATCCGACTGAGTTCAGAGCGGTATGAATTGATGCCGGCATCAATGTAAATTCAAATTAATGTTCAGACTAGTCTGAAATGGCCACAACGCTTGCCCACAAAAGCAAATTACCAAAAAATATAGCTGGCAAGTTTAAAACTAGGGCATTACGCGAAGAAGGATTTTTCGTGATTTCGTGCCGGTCCCATGCAAACATGCAACAAATTCCGATTTTCATTCCGGTTTGACTTCGTACAAGCCTCATGTAAACTGGGCTTTAGTAAATATGTCTTAATGCTACGTCACCTGCTTAAAAATTACTCTCACCTGGAGTATATACATAGGTCGCAGTTGATGTATTGACGTCAACACCCAAATCTGGGGAAATCACAATGTGATTTACGATGTTATCGTGGAACAGCCATCGTGATAATTGCGTTTTTATCAATGAATGCAATGAAGTGCAATATATTTTCCGGTTATTGTTAGGGTTTAAAAAGGGTTTACATCCGATTCAGCGTTGAACGGAAATGTTTATCACGTACACTGTGGTCGCTGAAATGTGACGTTTCCATGTACATCATCATCATCTATTTAAGGGAACGATGTTGAGCTTTTAATAAAAATGCGGGCATTATCTAATATTTTACTTTTAAACTCGTCGAATAAAGTGTTCTACACATTCGCCAGCAATAGCTATTTAGACTGGTATTAGATATTTTTTTAGCACTGTAATAATTGTGGACAACTCAGCTTGTATTAAAGACATTTGAATAACAGTGCGTGAAATTTGTCTTTAAGATCTGTAACGTCAGCAACGTAACTTTATGTGCATGGAAAAGTCATTTTTCAACAGCTAAAACCAGAAGCTTTGGAAGCTTTGAAGAGTTGTGGGTGTTCCATATTCTCAACTTCGTAACGCAAGAAACTTGGAATAGTAATGAAATTGTTTTATTTTAGTTGTTTTCAATCAGTTTTTCTTCTCTTTCGAGGAAACATTACAAAAATCCTCCCGCATCCCTTTGCTGTGTTGCATTACGTTCAAATGACTTGCAAATTTCCTCAATGTTTAAACCATTCAAAATTTCCAGGCTCTTTGAGTCAGTTCAATAATTTTAAAACTTGGTACACCTATCATAAACGTTCAAGTGAGAAGCTTAATTAGTGGGTGTCCTTTCTATAAGGTACACCCACACTGCGAAAATTGTTGGTGTTAGGACACCCAGATACCCACGGCTTCTCAAAGCCCCTGGCTGCAACGAACGTAAAAAACATTTCCGTTCGACGCTCAACCTGAATCGGCTGTATTTAAAGAATGTGTGTGTCAACCAGAAAGCATTGTGCGTTAATCACAGCGTGTCGGCTATCTTGTGAGTCGAAAAAATGGCGGATATTGTTATTGTAGTCAATGCATCAATGCTTTTTATTTAATCAATATGTTTTTGCTCACTTTACAGATAAATTAGATGAAGTAGTGACGAAATTGAATTCATTGTGATGCAAGCTCGAAAAGTAACGATATAAGCATAAACAAAAGCGTGCATCGTGGTTGACGCACATTCTTTAAGTTTTGAAAACGTAAATAACATAATAAAAAACTACAAGTAATTTCACTAACTAAATAGCTTGCTGCCGGTTGTCTAATTACTTTTTTAGAAATTCGTTCTGAAATCAGTGTATGAATTTCCTGCATTAACCACAGATTAACTATTTCTTAAAAGTTTGAGCTAACTTTGTTCGACATTCGACAGTTTGGATGCCATTCGGAAATTACGAAGATGACGTTATCAAATCATCTGCATTCTCTGTACTTTCTCCCATTTCACACCAAGTTTTTTCACTTAAAATATGACGGCAAAGTGCATTTTTTGTCTTCACTGGATTGTCTGTGCAGTCATTTCATCACGTAAATAATTCAAGAATTATACAATGCTTAGCAGCATCATTGATGATTGCATCCTATATTAAGCACACCTACGCCTACCCCCTCCTACTATAATGCATTTATATGCAGTCAACTCTTGTTTTAACTGGCAGTCTAAAGACAGTGTCGTAAATAGCATTGATAACTGAGGAGGATCTTCATTTATGCATTTCATAGTCCACTAAAAACAATTGAGTTAAAAAGAACTTAATTGAGAACATGCAAATATTAATAACCCCCGCCATTATTGAGCTAGTTTCACAATTTATTGTCCGTATTGGCGAGAGTCGTTGGAAGAAATATCACAAGTTAGGCTGAAAAAAGTTTTTTTGTTTCAAAATGTTTTATTTATTTAAACTTGTATGTTGCACTTAGCTACTGCAAAATACGATACCTTTAAATCAAAAAGACATTGACTCTCACATTGTGTTCAATATTTGTTGAACGACAACATGTAATTTCTGTAGTGTCGTGATAGTGAAAGCCCAAAATAGACATAGTAATTACTCGAGTTACAAAAAGCAAACTCGAGATTCATATTCGGTTTTTTCTGTATTGTCGCGAGATTAGACAAATCACGCGTGGTTGACACGAAGTCCTTGAAACAATGAAAATCTTTCTTGAATTGTTTTACGCGTAAGTGTCATTAATTACAGGGAAAATGACGAATTTTTTACTTATGTACATAATATATTGCCACATATGAAATTGCACTGCTGTGAATTTCCTTGTGCTATTTGGCAACTATTATAATACCCAATTATTACAAGGCAATCTTTAAAACAAGGAATGAGAAAAGCCGGAATCTTTAAAACAAGGAATGAGAAAAGCCGGAATCTTTAAAACAAGGAATTAGAAAAGCCAGAATCTTTAAAACAAGGAATTAGAAAAGCCGGAATCTTTAAAACAAGGAATGAGAAAAGCCGGAATCTTTAAAACAAGAAATTAGAAAAGCCGGAATCTTTAAAACAAGAAAATTAGAAAAGCCGGAATCTTTAAAACATGGCACGAGAAAAGCCGGAATCTTCTAAACAAGGAATTAAAAAAGCCAGAATCTTTAAAACAAGAAAATTAGAAAAGCCGGAATCTTTAAAACAAGGAATTACAAAAGCCGGAATCTTTAAAACGAGGAATATATTTACCATGCAAACTACATGCATTTTGAAAACAAATTCGTACGACATCGTAATTTCCATTTTTTCACAAATTCCATGCTAACGGCTAGTTAAAATCCGTTATTATTAGAAAAGCTTACGAACAATGGTTTACAAGGAAATTACCATTGAGTTTATCGAATGGATGGCGAGAAAATTGCTTTTATTAAAGCGAGATATGAGTCTGGGCATGTTGCCAACTGACTTAAGGACTTCGAACCAATTGTGTCCTCGTATGAAGTTAGCAAAGTGATCGGTATGTACACAGGAAGGGGCCGATTACATGGACCGAGTTGTCCCGGCTAGACGAGGTGAGACAATTTAACCGATACCGCGGCCTCCTTTATTATTACTATTAAAAACAGCATTGTGATTACATGGGAAACGAGTCGACTCGCTTTGTTGGGATATCGGCTGTTGAAAGCCGGGACAACTCGGTTATCCGGGATGAAAATTGTCTCGTTCGCTCATGTAATCACTTTTTCCCGAGTTGCCCCGGGTAAGCGAGTTGAAAGCAGTGAACTCGACATTTGAATAACTGGAATGATAACCGAAGCCAAAAATTGAAGCCAAAAAAATATTTGTCGTCATCATGCGTCATCACACGTCAGGCTCTAGTCTCTCGCGTGTTCATTTCAATTTTTTTAAATCATTTGTCCCTTGGTAATGGTAGAGTTCGGATCTTGATCAGAGCGTAAAAATAACGAAATTTTTGGAATGAAAAGGTTCACGGAAAGTGAATCAAAGTGATAAATCGAGAAGCAAGATGAGGTGAACTTAGTCAATCTGCTCTTACGCTGCACTTTTCCTTTAAAACATATCAAAGTCTTTAAGGATATTCAATTATTGATATCGAGATGACAACCATTTAGTATTTCAAGTTTCAAGCACTATCAAAATTGATGAAAAATACAATCGCTCTGTAAAAAGTAAAAATGCGAGTTATTGACTCAATATTTTTTATGAAACTGGATAGTCAAGTTTCTTTTTTCTTCGGAAAAACAGATCTTTAAATCCACTTATAGAGACAAAAAAGACAAACACTGTCTGACACCGTTTGAAAAATTACCTTCCGATGTAAGAAAAATTTTTGCTTCGATATTTTCTCGTCATATTTTCTTATTGTATTGTGTTTTTAGCATACAGTGTAATTTTCAGTTGGCTTTTCTTCGTTGCAAGTTGTAAGTTACAACGAACTCACTGTAGTAAAGTTTCAGCTGTAAAAAATAACCTTTTGCGAAGAGTTGGCCTCGTGTGTTGTTTGTCGTGATGTTGTTTATATGTTTATGCTTTTGTAATTTGTATTCAAATTTATATTGGCCGTGTATGTGTTTGGCACTCAGGGGAATGAAACTGACGTACAAACCGCGTGAGTATTCGACTTTGAAGGACTGGAACTGACGTACAAACCGCGCAAGAGACTAGGACTTTGGCTTCAATTTTATATCTATAAAATGTATTGTCGTTATCATTCCAGATATATATATATATATATGGAGTTCACTGGTTGAAAGCTATTGTGTGAAGCATTCGTACTTAGTTTAAATTTGCAAAATGGCGGAAAGCTCTATAAACGATAATGCAAAGAAAAGTAAAAAATTTAAAAGATCTGCCACGATCGACATAGATAATCGCTTTCAGTGGACGTTAGAAATGGTTAAGGATTTACTGGAAGGGTTGCTCGAGTACAAATCTCAAGTGGAGTATAGAAACTCAGATTTCTATGCGGACAAAGTTAAACAATATGAAGCAGTTAGAATTATTTTGGCCAACAAATATCGTGACGGTTCATTGTTTGGGCCGACAGAGATTCCTGCATATACTGAAGAAGACAATAAAGAGGATTATACAAGGTCATGTGAAAAATTCAAAGCCCAAATTCGACGAGGATATACTCGAGTTCAAGAAAAAATAAAACATCTGCGACAGAAATTCAGTAATGCTGTTACCTCAGGTACAAGATCAGGCTCCGGAAAAATGGTTATGGAGTTTTGTGATGTTATGGTCAAAATATGGGGAGGATGACCTGCAAATGAACCATTGCAATTTGGTGTGCAATCAGCAGAAAAAGAAGATGAGGAAGGCTGGGAAATTAATGACTTTAATACAACTTTGTCTGATGAAATTGAAGAATCTTCTCGCATATCTGATAGTTCTCATCATGAATCCATAGCAGAATGCGAGAATGCTTTTAGTGAGAAAGAAAGCATGAAGCAATAAGAGGCAAGCGGAAAATGAATGTGGTACCCACATTGATTGATAACAAACGTAGGCACATGGAACGTCAGTTATCAGCTTCCCAACGCGACAAAATCTTGATGCAAGAATCAAAAGATGAACAACAATTTCGTAAAGAGATATCAAATTCCCTGAAAGAATCCAATTTATTATTTGCAGAGTCTTTGAAGGCAATTAGTGCTTCAATGACTGCTCTTGCTTCTTCAATTAAAAAATCATGTGAATCGTCACAGCACATCAGGCCACCATACCCATCAGATCGATTGCAGTCCACAAATCTTATGCCGCAGTTTCACCAAAGTATTAACACCTCTAATTACATATTTCCACCTGATATGTCTGGCCAGTCTTTCTACATTCCCCATGTAGAAAGCAATGGAGAACCCTTGCAACCACATCAACATCAATATTGACTTTTAACATTTTATTGGTTAAAAACATCATACTTGTTTTATTTTTTATGTTGAATTCTTACTGAGTAATTCTTTATGTTACATTGTTCTTGTTAGAGTGGAACAAATGTTCTTTGTTTATGAAATAAACATGTATTTGAACAAAAAAACTGTTGCTTTGAGAATATTAAAAAGACTAGTAAAGCAAATGTGCATTAACATAGTGTTTTAGTATGTCTCTGACTAGTTCTCCTTCCCTGGTGGTACTTGAGTACACTGGATCTGGGCTGTTTTTGTGGGATATTTCTTCATCTCTGTTCCTAGCTATTTGATTTTGGACAATCTCCTCATACATGTCTCTATTGTGCATCTCACAAAAATTATGGAGAACAAAACAAGCTAAAATAACTTTTGGTACTACATCCAGTTTAAGGTTCATTTTTCTTGTCAAAATTGACCATCTAGCCTTTAGGAGGCCAAATGCACATTCTACTGGGTTTCTTGCGGCTCTTAGCATATTGTTAAAAACTACCTCATCATTGCTTAAGTATGATTGGTATTCTTTAATGCAGTTGGGTGTTAAAGGATATGCCGGGTCACCTATGAGGTAGTTAGGTATCTTGTCATGACCAGGTAAAACTTGAGTGAAGGTTTGTGGTAATCTTCCCAATTTTAGTTCATTATTTATGAATGAGTTTGAAAATACTTTCGCATCATGGACGCTGCCAGGCCACCTGCAGTCAACATCCATGAATAAGCCATTTGAATCACAAACAGCTTGAACATTAATGGAGAAAAACTGTTTATAATTGAAGTAATCTTGAGAATCAACCAGAGATCTTTGAATGGGAATGTGAGTACCATCAATGCAGCCTAATGCCTGAGTCATGCCAAACCTTGTTTCAAACTCAGCCACTTTTTTCCTCATTTCCACTACCGTTTGTGGAAGGTGCAGATATATTGGACAAAGATGTATACAAATTGCATTGCAAACTGCTAAAACGATTTTAGAAACTGTACATTGATGAACACCAAAGGCATTCGCTGTCATCCAAATAGAACCAGTGTCTTTTAGGTAATATAAAGTGATAGCGAGTTTTTTTTTCACGAGACCTATAATTTGGAGTGTTTATTCCTTCAGAAATGTAAGGTCGCAACTCCTCGCACAATTGAAATAATCGCTCTTTCGTCATTCTAAAGCTTCGCTTCCACTCATCATCTGGGGTAACTCCATCAAACATATTCTTCCACCATAAGTCAGTTCTTCCTTTTTTGGTCCATATAGCTCGCTTTTTCCGACTAAGTTTCCTAGCTCTTATGTATCGTGCTTTTTTCTCAGCTACTGATTTTTTTGTGGCATAGTAACTATAAAAGACTGTGTGAACGTATTGCCTGTATGCTGCCCATAAGTAAGTGAAACAGTAAAATTGAAAAAGTAGACAGGAAACAAGAATGGAGTGATGCAAAAATTTCGTTATTTATAAAATGTTCGCCATATTTTCCCGCAAAAAATTCGAAATCGCTCTCGGAGCCAGGAACCCGAGTACCCTAGACAACTAAATCTGCCGGGACAACTCGGTCCATGTAATCGCTTGAAAAAAGCTAACCCGGATACCCGAGACAACTCACCTTGCCGGGACAACTCGGTCCATGTAATCGGCCCCTAAGTTTCTTTCGATTTTTGACTGTCCAGTTTGCCCAAACATTTGAACTGATTTTCGGTCGCTATTTTGTCATTTTTTAACATTACGTCATCACTGTATTTTCATAATAACAAATGTTGCATGGTGCCAAAGTCGAGAAATGCAAGGCTTTTTATTTTCCAAAGATAATATTGAAACATTAAAACTTATTTTGAAATTTAAATATGCAAAACTTTAATAACTCTATTGCATTATATGCTGAAATTTTCATGAGTTATTTATACTTAGTTAACAATGTGGCAATGTTTACGAGTTACGACACGCCGTGGAATTTGAATTAAGATGATGCAAAATAGCCAGCAGAAATCAACTGAAAAAAAGCGACACAGATCTCGACTTTTAAGTGGAAAAAAGCAAAAAATTGCCATTCAAACGGTTGCTTCCCCCCTCGAAACTTATCAAAATGCGGTGATGACGCAGCGACTGAAATCAGTTCAAATGTTTGGGCACATATGGCAGTCATAAATCGAAAGAAACGTTAGTTTACTGTGTACATACCGATCACTTTCTTAACTTTATACAAGGACACAATTGGTTCGAAGTCCGTCCCAAATCAGTTGGCAACATGCCCAGACTCATATCTCGCTCTAAAAGCAATTTTCTCGCAATCAATTCGATAAAACTCCGTGGTAATTGCCTTGTGAACCATTCTGTGTAAGCTTTTCTTAACGCATCTTAACTAGCCGTTTGCTTAAAATTTGTGAAAAATTGCAAATTTGTACGATGACGTACGAAGTTGTTTTGAATATACATGGTTTTGCATAATTACACATTCCTTGTTTTAAAGATTCCGGCTTTTTCCATTCCTTGTTTTCGCAATCCCCTTTCCCTTCCTCGTCCCTTTCCTTGATTTAAAGATAGCCATTATTACAAAACATTTTTCTTGTGTAGCATGAATAAAAACCTGATGCGCGTCTTGCTTTTTTGCAAGTCATGGTAGGTTCGGTCGGGGATTTACAAAATGTCCGTAGTATCGTGATGTCTGCTTGGCGAGTGTTCACCATACTTGTTTCTTACAAATTAAACTTTTAAATTTTAAAGTGCTTATGCAGTGAAATTTCCAAACATTGTTTTACACCATTTTTATGGAAACAGAGTTAAATTTTGTCTTTTCAGATTGATTTTATAGGCGTCAAAAGTTGCGGTTTTTGGTTTTATTTGTACGAACTTTTTTGGTTGCCATGTTTGCTAAATTGACGTCATAAGTAGTACACATTTTCAACATGGAAGTAGAAATTACTATTAGTTTAGCGACTTCCGTACTACTTATGACGTCAAATGAGCAAACAAAATAGCGGTCAACAAAATTCGCACAATAGGACAACTTTTGGTGTTGAAATTAGTCAACTTCCACTCAATGTAAAATGGACATAAATATATTAAATTGCTTGAAAACATCTGAATATTTCATTAAGGCTATAAAACGTATATGAAAATTTCACTGCATAAACACTTTAATGAACTCTTTATTAAAATGACGCAATAGAATGAAACGGATCATAGCGACTCGAATAAGATGATTGTTTTCCTACCCTAACACCCCTGTTTCTCCAACATTGTGATTTGGATTGGATTAATTGCAGTAGATTTATATGAATAGGCATCAGAAGAAACGAATTCCTTGAGCTCTTTACCTAAGGAGAAAATTGCCACGATGTTGGAGTTTACGATTAAAAGATTAAGAGAAAAGGTAGAACAATATTGACGTCATCATCACAGGGAATGAAACACATGTTTTCAGGCACAATAATTGACCGCAGTTATAAAATGTTGCTAGTTTTGGTTTCATATTCGCGCTACGAAAGAAAACGTAAAGCGCTTAAGGGTGCGAGCATGCGTAGAAGATAATTTGGCTTCCTTTAAACAGGATATACGTATACCTCGTGTCGCTTTTTGGTTTTGAGTTTGAAAGGTTGAATTTCGATTAATATTTCTGTGCAATTCATACATTTCGACTGGGGGAGGGGGGGAGAGAACCTCTTTGAGTCTTGAAATTTGCCTCTAGTCATGTTTATTTGCGTTAGGAAAGAAAAATATGTTGAACTTTAAATTCCAATTTATAAATATTTGTTTTTGTTTTAGTTTGGGGAGTTGACAAAGCCTGTAGCTCTTGAAAGCGACGCTGATTATCAATTGTACATAAATCATCCGACAGATCTGAGCTGCATTGAAAAAGTAAGATGACAATAATTTGTATAGCAGTTGCGTTTGTCTTTAAACATACAGAGTGTATCAAAAAATTAAAGTATTTGTAGCAGTAGAAAACTAGAAACTTCTTAAGTAGATTCTTCTAAAGTAGTAGATCTTGGAAAAACATCTAAAACAAGACGCGCGTCGAATAAGCAAAAACTTTTGGTAATTCTAAGTACTTTGACGTTCTCTTATACAGCTGGTAATAGAATTCTTGGAAATTCAAGATTTTTTACCCGTGAAAGAACTGTTACCAAAAGTCTTTGGCCTTGGAAAAATTATCGGAAAAACAATTTAATCACCCTGAGTCAAAATATGGACTGTGTTGTACAAGCTATTAAAATTTCAAGAAATATGTGGCAGGCGCTGAACAACACGAGATCTTTAAAACTTGGAGTTTTTTGCGTTCATGCCTTTTGAAACCCAAGATTTGTTACATTATTTCAAATTAGTTAATATGCATTTCGGTATGAAATTTGCAAGCCAATTCCCAAAGGTATAAATGTGGTTATAAAACCTAATTTGAAATGCAAAAACGCCATAAAATGCAAGTTTTAAAGTGTTTATGTAACGAAATTTCACCTAATTATTTTTGGTATAAATCAAAAGTTTAGAATGCGCAGAGTATGATGAGCATTTAACTTTTTTCATAACTCCTACTGATAAAAAGATATCGGTGGTTAAAGTTGCTGTTTTTAACGTACCTCGTGCCGTAAGTGGTTGTGTTCGCACTTGTAAACAATGAAAGCGCAATACAAAATTATACAAATCAAAATATTTTTGATGGAGAAAATTCATTGGAATTTTCGTCGAAAAAAGTAATTTTCGTCAGCAAAATGGTTTTAGAGAAAACGAGGACTGTTTATTCGTTGAGGAATTTACTCTACTTATACTGGCAAGCAATCAGCTAAGCGCGAAAGAAATGCTCTCGAAGAGGAATGCAGGGAGGAAGATGGCTTATTGTCCTATGTTTTATAGCTGCGTTTCAAAGAAAACCTATCTGTTGACAACAGGTAAGAATTTTTCTTCAATTTAAATTAAAATTTTCGATTTATTGTACATCCAGCCCTAGCATTTTCTACGCCAACCCAGGTATTCTTTTACAAATTGCCATGTTGTGGTTTAACAAACATTTGGTGAACGGTCTCAAATTTCTCTGTTGATTAGAGGTGCTAGATGAGCCAGGGAAATTGACGTTCATCCTTAAGAATAAAGGCTACATCCTTCATGAAGACCTTGGCCTGTTTTCTCATCGTGTCGCTCTTTGACAACTTATAAAAGCACAGCGTAAATGCGACATGGCTTGATGATGAACTTAATACGTCAAAGAAGAACTACATATACTAATCCACATAGAGTAGATATTCATGCTGTTTTCAGCAACTAAAATAAATTTTTATAGTGAACAGCGTTATCGATATATGGAGCTCACTGGCACCAGATTTGCGAAAGGAGGCTGGGGCCGGTTGCACGAAGCCTGGAAAGCATTATCCATTATATACCAAAAATTTTCAAACTTGTAAAAAAGGTGTTTATATTTTTCTTATCACAAAGAAATTTTGCAATCTTCGAAACAATGTTTTATTTCAGTGATTGCACAGCTCAAATCGTACACTTTTCTCCTATAAGAGGTTTTATGAACGTTCAGAAAAATTTGCTATCCAGGCTTCGTGCACCCGGCCCCTGTACTGCATGCTTTGATTACAGAAAGAAAGCTTGGTGAAAACATTGAACTTAATTCCATTCTATTTGATAGCTTAATCAATATTGATATAAATCATACAACTGATACAAGAAACAAATTTTTATTCAACAAAATATATGAAGGATGAAAGGCAAAAAATGGTGTTTAAAAAAGAACTGTTTATTTCATATACGCTATGTTTTTCAAAAAAACCTTGTGTAAGTTATGCAATAACAATAAAGCGTTAAAGGCATTGACCTGCATGACAAACTGCTTTCCTATTATACTTTTGAAATAAGCACTAAGTGATGGTTTGAAAGCAATTTCAGACAAAAAATTTGTTGAAAATGAACAACCATCTATTCAAAATAAGAATAAATAAGTCAAGTCATTTTCTTAGAGCAAACAGTCCAAAGCCAGAAAAAGGCAGAGTCCATGACAGTAATGTCTCATGTGCAAGAAAAGGCATTCAATGATAAACCAGCTCAGCTACAGTTGTTGGTCTTTTAAACTTTCTTTATGTGCTGCATTCTGTTTTTATCTGTATCATGAAAGGTCAAGTATTTTGAATTCACATGTTAACCTAGTTTCTTGAAAAATTTCTATAAGATCTGTTTCCAAAAATGTGTCAATAATGTATGTATTAATAAAAAAGCACTGAAACTAAAGAGTTAAGAAAAAACTTAGGCAGGTGTGAGAAAGACCACAGTTTTACAATGTTACGATAGGACCATAACTACATTTCTCTTTGACTGCTTAAGAATTTCTCTCATAAATCAACGATTGCTGCCATTTATAACATTTCAGTCTATACCTGATAAAATCTGGCAAGTATTACAAATATATTTGGATTTTTCACGCTAGAGTGCTTTAGTTGTCGTGCCACACTACATTTAAATAGTAGAATTTACTACACCGAATATACATATACACAACTACGACGTCACAAACCCCTTTGGACGCGCACAAAATGGCGACAGTGTCATTTTTCAATGAGATTTTCTATACCAAAGTATTTATCCGTTAAAATTTTTACTGGACACCTTTCAAGGTTTACACTATTCAATTATATGAAAATATGAAACCATGAAATTTCGTTTCATAAACGCTTTAAAGATCTCACGTTGTTCAGCGCTTGCCCAAGTTTATTGAATTGTATATAGCTGGTCCGTACAGTCCATATTTTGACTCAGGTTGATTAAATTGTTTTTCGGATGATTATTTTTTGTGCGCATGGCCTGTTTTGGACGACTTTTAAAAGCAGATATTTCAATGGTAAAACAGCTTGCATTTTTAAAAATTCAATTGCCAGCTGTATTGGAGAACGTTATAGTACTTAGAATAAACAAAAATTTTTTGCATATTCCGCACGGGTCCTGTTCTAGAGAAGTTTTTCCAAGAGTGTACTTTTTTATTCACCCTTTATAAATGGGTGCTTTGATTCACCGTAGATTTCAGATCACGTCTATGTACCATAGGCACTTGACTGAAGTAGATCTAGCTAAATTTTGTACACGAGGTCCGTCCTCATAAAAGATTCAGGATTTCATTTAGGCAAGCTTCGACATCAAATAGTTCTGATGAAGACGTTAGACTGGTGTATATAAAGACTGTAGTCTCGACATTAGATTACGCTTGCTAAACACTCTAGACTGGACTATATAAAGACAATAGGTTTAAGTACAGATCACTCCTGATGAAGACACTAGACTGAAGTAATTACGGACTCCACTTTTAACATCAGATCACTCTTATGAAATCAAGGATGGTATTGTACGAGAACTTAATAGTGCGCATTATGCATTCGTTCTTAATAAAAAGTTTGCACGTCAACAGCTGGACTCTTGTAAAGGACTGTAGTTTTGAGCTAAGAATGGTTTCACTGACAACGTGTCTTTCATGATTATAAAGGAAAGCAAACCTTTATTTTAGTTCTATAGAACTAAAATAAAGGTTTATTTTCTATTAAAATTTAATCACTTCTGACCAATCCTTTGCTTAGCAAGATAATACATGTTTCGATTTAGGAAGTTAGCGAAAAAAAGTTCAATTCTCCTGGTCACTTACTGGAGGAACTTAAATATCTGGTACATAATGCTGTTATATATTTTGGAGGTTTGTATTTTTTGAAATTTATTTTTTTCTGTTTGCTTGTTGCTAGCATCATTTGCAGAAATCTTAAGCCCGTTTTCCACTTCATGATTTCGCCCACCGCTCTCGAAATTTTTCGCGGACTTTGGCGACAGCGAAAACGGCGTACGCAAAGATTTGATTTCTAGTTGTTGTTTGCGTTTGCGCGAATATTTACAAAATCACAGAAAAAAAAGGCGGCCATCAATAATGATATTGATAAAAATCGCCTTGGCTTATTGGCATTTAGACAAAAATTACGTCGACACTCGACCGCGTCTACGTTTTAAGGCTTAAGTATAGAAAGCGTTTCTGGATTCGGAAAACCTTTGCAGAACGAAAGGAGAATGGTGAATTTCATCTTTTTATTGGGTATTGACGCACTTGCTCAATAAATGCTACCAAATGCGGTTCTTCAGACTCTTCAACCTCTACATCTGATGTCATAATCGACAAAATTTCGCGAGCGGCTGGAGAAATTATGAAGTGTAAAACGGGCTTTAAAGGAAAAGGGCAATATATATTTTTTGACTATAAATAAACTTTTACCATATAGATTATGAAAAATCAAAGTAACTCATACTCTTCGACTATTTGTCTCATAGAAAATTAGAATTTTGTTCATGTTTATTTTACTCCTTGTCAGCCATTTTGTTTTTACTTTGAGAAAATTATGAGGCATGTTTGTGACGTCAAAACAAGGTGTTTATGTCATTTCAAAACATGGCGATTTCGAATGAGGAATCAATCCAGCAATTTGAAGATGAAAATACTGAACTGAAAGATGAAGAAGTACAACCTTACATGTTTTGAACCCAATAAAGAAGATTTGTGCAAGTCTTCGTCTATATCAACGGACGATTCGAGTATCAGTGACTATGATTTAATTGACCCACAGTTTGACGCTTTACATCGTTGGCGGCTGGCGACTTTAAAGTGGTGTAAATGTGGAAAGTGTGCCATGATGGAAAGAACTATAGAAAGCTTTTGCTGCCTTGAAAAGGCATTGGAATTTGATGAATAGGATGCGTTACTAACGAATGCACAAATTGTTTGACAAGCTTAAATTCATTTGTACTAAACATGCTATTGAAAGATGTACTTGCAATCGATGTGGCACAGTACTTGGAAGATAATTGGCCTATTAGCGACAATGAATTGGAAAAAAAACATAAAATTTATCGTCTTGCTTCGTATAGAATGTGTTCGCGATGGATATTTGATATTTTAGGTAAAAAAAACTCGTAGAGAGTTTCCGTCCTGTATTTACAAGAGCATCACGGCTGACTTTTCTTCACCGACTGGACTTTACACCCATTTTAAGTTCTTCGAAATGAGTTATCTGCCTTACCATAAATAGCAATGTTTGTTATTGAAATAAATCAATAATGACAAGCACATCCAGTGCACAAGGGTATATTATTCACACATGTACAGTTTACTTCATTTATACGTTTTTATATATAATTATTAAAGATACCATACAAATTTGCATCATTTTCTACTTGTTTATACAGGTTTCCTTTTTACATTTGCAATTAAGTGTGCAGATTTTATCTTCAAATTTACACAAACATCTTACAGTTGCGCATTTTCCTGAGCATTCACATGCTCTCTCATTTTCTGGAATGATCAAGGACAGTTTTTTAAATCGAGTATACTTCTTGGCAATCACTGAATCTTTTGCTTGTGCTTCACAGTTTTTAAGGTACTTTTTCACAAGTGCTTCTGGCTCTTTTGGTAAAATTTCTTTTGCATGTTTTTTTGCATGTGCAATGGTTAGAAACCTTCTCCTCAGTTACAAAACTTCTTGTTGTATAGTTTGTGCATAATCTAAATAAAATATAAAACAAAGGGGAAATATTTATACAATACAAGTATGAAAAGATCGCATGGCTTTTTTCGTAAATCAAGTTTGAAAATGTTACTATAGGTTGGTTCATCTTTTATTTTTCACCATTATTGGCTTTTGGATAGATTACCACCCATTTGTCATCTCTTTCTTTTTGTCTTAACCTGCTGTCTGAGAGTTTTCATTGAAGTATAAATTGGCACAAAACAATCTATGTTCAAAAGTGGATTGTTTCTTTTGGTTGTGTTGCAAAGCATGATTGACATCTACTTGTCCAGCCATATTTAATAAAGTTGCCATAAAAGATGATTATATGAAATAATCTAATGCAATGGAGGAAATTTCTACCTGGTCATAATAGGCCTTTTCAAGGTTATCGTAGCCATATTACAGGGGGTGCAAAAACATTAGGCCGAGCGCGCGGTCACGCATGGTGTCCATATAAATTACTAATAAATGCGCAAAAATTACCCTTATACATATTGGCCATTTCTTTCAAACATATTTCTCAAACTCGTCCATTTTAATAGTCGAATTATTAATTGCGATCTTTTATACATGTGAGTCCAATTTTGTGGTAATCAAAAAGCGGAAAGTTAAAGAAAACATTTGTTTTCTTAGAACAACTTGACCGTCGTTTGAGCGATGTTCTTGAGTTCACAACACACGCACATGTCTACAGCAAAGTCAGCAAGTATCACGAGGAATTATTCTACGGCAAACTCTTATTAGTATTTCCAATTATTTGTAAAGTGACATTGCTATTTTTATTATTATGTATGGCGACTAAACAGCCAGAAGAAGAAACAGCCAAGTATTCAAATACACACTTATAACTGTTAATTGATGGCAGGCCGGTGTGAAACCTTACATCATACTCTCTCGTCAACTGTTCAAATTCCAAAGGGACAGGGAGTAAAGATACCTCAGATTTTGCTGGATTTCCATCAAAACTTGAATCAGAATTCACAGTATCATAGGCTTGATGAGGACGCTTTGATGTCGTCCATGTTTCTCTTCCTTTACGTTTAAGCGGAGTCCTCGATTGCTCGTACTCTGATAGCGTAATAAAAACTGAAGGATAATCCGTTCCGCGGTTATTTGAGGTTCTTCCCAAGGGAAAATAATTTGAGCAAATGAAAGTACCTTGTGCACCAGGCTTTGGGTTAAAGTCATCGGCTCTGCTGTTTGCAATTTGTTTTCGCCAAATTTCATCAAGTGCTTGATCTTTCGGCCACTTGTGAAAAACTAACTTTTCTACGTGAGACCTCTTAACTTGATAATCAGGATAGCGTTTATCATTATCGCAATATCCAACTGCACAACGCGCATTTTTTACCATTTCGGCTATTTCAGCTCACGGCTACTCGGCTAGTTTAGGGTTTAGTTCGTTTGACTTGGCTTATGAGTTCCGCACATTTGCGAACTCAAGAACATCGCTCAAACGACAGTCAAGTTGTTCAAAGAAAACAAATGTTTTCTTTAACTTTCCGCTTTTTGATTACCACAAAATTGGACTCACATGTATAAAAAATCGCAAATAATAAATCGACTATTAAAATGGACGAGTTTGAGAAATATTTTTGAAAGAAATGGCCAATATGTATAAGGGTAATTTTTAGGAATTTATTAGTAATTTATATGGACGCCATGCGTGACCGCGCGCTCGGCCCAATGTTTTTGCACCCCTGCAATATGGCTACGATAACCTTGAAAAGGTCTATTGAGTGATATGGATAGTAGGTGTTTTTAGCAGCAAACTGATTGTCCAAGGCATGTTTTGATTCCAATGAGGAAGTTTGGTGGAAATCTGGTAACTTGCGTATTGCAGGTATTAGTCTTGGTCGTTTCAAAATTTCTGTCAACTTCTTGTAAGCTGCTTTGCCTATAAATGAAACATTCTTTTTCATCATGTCAATAGATTTTTGTTTGTATGAATTAATAGTACATATTGTGCTGAATCTTGGGGTGTATTGTTGTGCCAATTTTCCATTTGCAACTAGTCGACATATCTTCTTTGTAACATTGATTGTTTTCTGATACGGTCATACATTCAGCGTACGAAATTTAACTTTCAACCTCCTGGAAAAAAAACTTGAAGTATTTACTGGTTTCCCTCTTTCAAACAATACCAAAATCAAATTAAATGCTCGTATCTTATTATTTTTTAAGGTCATAAACACAACACATGGTCATAAAGCACTCACTTTTTTTCGTGAAAGAGAACCAGCTGATCTCTTTGCTTCTGATGAGTTATTTCCTTGCGTGTTAAGTGGTTTATTTTCAGTTGGCACAGCATCAGGTTTTAGCATTACCTTTCGTTTACAGGCAAAATTAGAAAGAAGGAGAATGTCCGGGAAGAAATGCATCGGGGGCAAAATGTGGGGAGCACAAGCAAGTACATTTTGATGGGCGAAATTTTTTACGCTTGCAGAACTCTATCTACATATTTAGCCTTTTGCTTTCTTTCTTGTTTTTTGGTTTAGGAAATGAGAAGAAATGTATCCCGTTTTCTTTGTCTTTTTTACTATCGCTGTTGCAACCATACACCTGACAATACATGATTACAAATGTTCAAATTACCAAACTTTCGGCAAAATTTCTTTTGTTAACCTTGTTTTGACGTCATGCATAATTATCTCGTATAAATTTGCATACGCAGCACGTTTAAAGATGAATGAATAGTAATGAAATTTATCAAGAAAAAGGCTTTCTCATTGTTCATCAGGCTTGTTTCAACCGATTATTTTAAAACATTATGATAACACAAAAGGTCAACAAAACAAAATTGGTAAAAAATATATATTGCCTTTTTCCTTTAAAGTGTTTATGACAAGAAATTTTATCACATTTTTAGTGCAATGTTTCCATGGGAACTTTGCAGTATTGTGGTGAGTGACGAAAATTCACACGAGTGAATTTTCATGGTCATAGTGTAAACGTTCCGAGGGGTGTCTAGCAACAACGCTAATTTTATGTTTGATAATTTTTTAGATATTTATCAATTTTTTGCCGATTATTACACCTTTTTGAAGTCAATACAGGATAAGACGTCATCATTACGGTCAAAGACCATTCAATAAAACGTAAATGCGTTGATTTGTGACAATTAAACAGTCAATGGAACGAAAAGTTTATTCAATGAAGAAATTTGAATATTCTCAAGCATTCATTAACGTCTTTAGGAATTCAATGCAGAAAAATAAGCGTACAATAGCATCGATTTTCTATTCATGTGCATTTATTCATGAATCATTAGCGCCAATAGTGTCAATAGGAGTTTAACTATAACATTAACGTCTTTCACTCGTTCATTAAACACAAACATTGACAGCTTTTACTTATTTATTGTGTACTTGTAACAACACGTTAAATGTGCTCTTATCTACTATACGGCCAATAAACTATTCATGCCGTTAAATGCGCCGATGATGACATTAAAGCACATTGCTTTTCTAACCGAGTGAATCGCTTTGATGCAAATCAGCACCCGTTGACAAGGCCATATTATTGCTATTATAAAATGTACTTTTGTTTACCATGCGTGATGCGGCAATGAAATATTCGTGCCATTAAAACAGCCGATAGTTACATGAAAGCACATTGAAAGCATACTTTTCGGACCGTGTGATGGCCCTTAGAAAATCAGCAGCAGTTAAAAAAACCTACCACGGCTAGTATTAGATATTCTTCGCAAATTTTCTTTATATTCGATGATGACCATTAGTCTGATGATGTCTTTGGAATAAAGACGAAATATTACACCATCCTTTGTTTCATACTCTTGTATTATCTTGAATATCAAGAAAACGAGATGTCCGTTTTCGGAATTTTGTTTTATTTTATAATTATATAGACTACGGTTAAATATTATCTATTTGTTAAATAATGTATGTAAATAATTGCTAATGGTGTCATGAATAATGACTGCAACATGGTTGTACCATTCAAGTTTGTATGGTTATAAAAGTGATTCCTTGCTGAAAACAACTGAGTAACATGAATCCACATGAAATCAAATAATATACTTACACACAAACACTGGGAGACTGAGAGATACATATATGACACCATATAATTGTTATTGGTGTTAATGGTGTGCTGATCTTTTGCTGGTTGGCAACAAATTGAACAGAATACAGAAAACATCCTTTAAGCTCTAGTTAACATGATTTAATTGGTTATTGGCTAAGTTCTAACTTTCATGGCAACTGCAACATATACATGTAAAGATCAATAATTTAAATGAAGCAATTGCTTTGCTTCCGCTTGCCTTTTGCATGCAAATTTTTGTAAAATGAACTTTGGAAAACTGCTCTTCCAATTATTCCCAATTTAGTATTAGCATATTATACATACATACAGTGTTACTTCTTGCATGTTCTTCTATAAATTCACTTGGTTATATGAGAATTTGAAGATAAAAGGTGGCACAATTAGTTTATTTATATTAAGTGACAAAATATACAAGATATTGCAGTTTGTTGCTCATCATATCAATCGCATGTTGCCGTGCTTTTTCGTCCATTTGGTCTTATGTTGTTTATGGTAGATGATAAATGATGGAAAACATCCAAAACAATTTGCAACTGACAGTTTTTGCCTGCTCGGGGGGAGAGAGGCAGCAATCCCTTGCGATAGTAACTCCTAGTTTATATATTGCATACTGCAAGAAATAAAAGAATAAGAAGCATGAATGACGAATGTATGATTGTGGCGTGCCAAATGTACTTAGTATGTATCCGCTACGTAAGTGCGCATACAAATTAACGTTTATTTACGCAGTCTTGGAGCAAGTTGTAGCTATTCGCCAAAAAGCAATCTGCTTAGCCTTTGATAAGCACTTTTCGAAATGAATTTCAGTTTAGTATTTTTTGAAACGCCAAGGCTCGATACTAAGCTTCTTGAAACTAATTTTATTTGCCATGTTTAGAAACATTTTTTCTAAGAAACTTTGCACTATCTTTGGATCCCTAGTTTTTGATTGCGTTGGAAAGAGCATGTAGAATGGCTGGATGACCTCTTTAGTAGAATTAAATTATTGTACTTTGTTCATGAGATATTTCACTTTTTTTCTTTATGCAAATGACATCGTTATAACATCACAGAGCATAATGACATTTTAAAGATCATCAATTTTTCACATCCTTAAAACGTTTTATAATCAAAGACAATAGTTTCATGAACATATGTGTACAATGCGTGCGGAAGGCACTCGCCGTCATTGAATTTCATTATACTTTTTCAAGTTGTGATGACTAACCTTTTATTTACAGACGATGACGAAATAACAGTAACAGCAGAAGAACTTATTGAGGATGCTAAACAAGAGGTTAATGTATTAATACATTTGAGGAAATTGTACAAAAGAAATTGTTGGAACAAGTGCGTGTTTAAATTTGTTGTGCGACTTGGGACTATGTGTTCACAATTCAATTTTTTTGTATAATTTGAATTCGGGAAACGTTGAATGAAAGAATGATAACGAGATTAACTTTTTATTTATGCTTGCGAAGTGATACTTTTGATTTCCAGCACTCCCCTGCTCCTTACAGTAAATCCATCTTAGTATAAGGATGTGTGACAAGGTTAGACGTTTTTCTTACAAATTAGTATTGACAATGGCATTAGTTAATAATTTCGAATGCAGTTTGCTCAAATGTATCTTTTCTCTATCTGACGCTGTTAATAACCTTAGCAAAAAGCAGAAGTGAAATGAAATTTTTGTGCCCTGAACCCATTCATGTCACTGATCTCTATGTCGGAACCGGATCAGCGTAAACATCGTAACAGGGTTCGTATAAAACTTGAATGTATTTAAATTTAAATTAAAAATTCGAGGCCTTAAAAAAGTACTTGAATTTATTAAGATGTACTTGAAAATGCTCGAATTAATTGTTTTTTGTCGAATTTTTGTGAACCTGTCATCGCACTACTTTCTTTTCAAAAAATGAGGTGGAAATTGTTTTTTGTATTGCAAAACAAGACGCCTGCTTAGAGGTGTACACTCGTGCTCTGGTGATCAAATAATTTCCGTTTTTGACAATCGAATCAAAACATGAAAGAGTGTCGGAAAAATAAGCCGAGGGCGAGAGATTTTTACGGTTTCTTAATTCGAGAAACATTCCCAATTGTTTGGATCGGGCACCGGCTATTCATCAAACTTTCCTTTTGAGAAACAATAAGTAGTTTTATTAAATAGCAACAAGAGAATAGTGTTACAAATACTATTAGCAAAAGTATGAAAGCTAAATTGTCTCAAATGTCATATTGCAGTGCTATAATCTTTCAAACAAAAGAAACTGTGAAGTTTTGTAAACAACAAAGTCAAAATATCGTTGATATTTCTTGCTTTCGTGTAGGAATTTAAAAGTAAATATCGCCCCAAGCGTTATGTTGTAGCGTAGCTTTGTCTTCCTTGCGTATGTATTTTGCATCCTCGTATTGTTTTTAAAAGTATAGCTTCACTGTTTTCATTGTCGAAGAATTATATTTTATCACTCCTTGCAGTCGCCATATTGTGAAAGCGCAATGCATTTTGGGTCAACAAAGTTGATTTCCCGTAACCACAATTCGAAGCTTCTACTGGTGCCCCTCCAGAGCACGAGTAATAAAGCTACAAGTTTGCTAAGCGTTAATGTAAGAATATTTATCGAACATCGTTGCCTTTTACTACTCGTTGCCTTATTATTTAATTAGGTGGAATTTAGCACTAAAAAATATCGCAAACAAAGCATTTTGTTCTTCTGAACACATGAACCTTACATATGTGTCAGAAGAATAAAAAAAAAACACAACATAACCGAAACAAAGTAAGTAAATTATGAATGATTTCAAAATTTAAATGTATACTACATAGTAATAATAAAAGAATGTTATTGCATAAATGACGAATGCATAGCATATGATTGTGGCGTGCCAAATGTCCTTATTATGTGTCCGCTACGTAAGTGCGCATACAAATTAACGTTTATTTATGCAATCTTGGAGCAAGTTGTAGCTATTCGTCAAAAAGCAATCTGCTTAGCCTTTGATAAGCACTTTTCGAAATGAATTTCAGTTTTTTGAAAAAAACATTGCATTTTGCATTTTTTGAAACGCCAAGGTTCGATACTAAGCTTCTTGAAACTACTTTTAATTGCCATGTTTAGAAACATTTTTTCTAAGAAACTTTGCACTATCTTTGGATCCCTAGTCTTCAGTCGTGACTGTGCTTGTATTCTATAATTATACACATTAAATTGCACTCTCTGATCACAGTGCTTAGGTAAGGCAACGTAAAGCGCAAAATTTTGTCTTCGTATATTGAACATAACGTCGACACATGATACGATTTAAGCTATTGGAAATAAATGTGATGAAATGCTTGCGATGGGCAATTCATCCACGTTAAACATTAGTTAATTGCAATCAAAACAGAATCACCGGCAATGTTGTATGACTCAAACTGTTACGTAATAATTGTGTTACATAATACTCTAACTTAAATGCGATGGGAATACCTCTTACGTAATACGTAATGACCTGGGGAAGCGTCTTGTTGATCTTTTACGTATCCTAAATAGATATAGTTTGAACTTTGTTTATTCAAGGCTACGCACGTGTCCGCACGTACCTATTTTTCACGTTTTGCGTGAAATCTTAACTTTAAACACATTGAACTTAAATACATCTGGAACGATAAGTCAGAGGGGATAAAATGAAGCCAAATTTTTTCATTTTTCAGGTCGCGCCAGTCCTTTTGTAAAAAATTGAAAAAATAGCATTTTTATATTTGTAAAATTTCAAAATTAAGCTTTGCGGTAGTTTTTCAAAGTACCATCGAATTTGAAGAATATTAGTCAAAATTATAGACTCTCAAAAAAAATCGGCCAAAAGTCTTATCATTGCAGAGAAATTTTGAAGCAAAGGCAAAAATTACGAAAAGTCCACGCGATTTTTGTTGCTTTTTCTGAGTTTTTGAAAGTTTTAGGCATACCCACTGACCTGTATACTAATTACCTGGACGGAAAATCCACATCCAATTATTATATTTTATTAACGCGCGGGTATCAAAGACATGAGTGCCGTCATACCAAATATGGCAAATTTTGGGGGGAAAATGACGTGACCTCATTCAATGAAAAATTTTGCACTTCCCCGGAATATTTTTAAATTTCTTGTATTTATATTGCGCCGTCGTAACAGCAAGTCTTATATCTCAAAACCTTTTTTCTAAGATGCCAAAATATTGTGCGGTACCTGGGTGCCAATATAGTACAGCAAATGAAAAGTTTTCAATGCACTGGTAAGAAAGAAAAAAAAAATTTCTATGAATGTACTTATTGCTTTTACAATTCAATGCCGTGGCTTTTTTACAGTTTTTTACAATTTTTACAGTTTCGCTTTTTTGCAATCGCTTTTTTCGCTTCATTTCTCATTTTAATTTGTCTTTTATCATTACATTTGATGCTTATAGTCGATGGTTTATATTTGGTGTTTTATCAATGATTTTCACCTCCACTCTTCTTTATTTCAATACTTTCTTTGGCAGGCTAAAATGTAGCAGAAGCTCATTTTGTTTGATAACAAATTAACATGGCGATTAAAACAACACAATTTGTTTTTAGGTTATTAAATTAGTAAAATTTGTGGTCCTGTATCAAAGGAAAAATACAAAACGAAAACTCAATGAATCGTGTAATAAATCCTTTGTTTTGGTTTGTTAACAATTTTATAACACAAATTTATAAACATATCGCCATTTCTTCACTTCACGGATAATAAAAAATTGCATCATAATATAATGGGAAAATATCCAGCTAGTTATTATTTAGGTGCAATAATTCTCAGGAAAAATAAAGAAAGTTGAGCCTGCAATCTAGATGGCTGAACAAGAAAGTAAACGACACGACTGTCATATAATGAGCAATCGGGATTCGGCAAACCAAGTCAAAAATTATCAAAACTCAAAGAGTCTTTACCTTTTTTCGTCGTATGAGTACGTGTCCATCAACTCCGCAATTTTGCACTGATTCGATAAACAGAACAAGTACTTCACAGTCGCGTTTCGAAATAAAAAGAACTTGATCACCAAACCAAAAAAATTTGTCTTTTACAGTTTACATACAATACAAAGTCAGTTGTCTAGTACTCAATTTAAGCTCAGCTACAGGGGGGAGTGAATGATAAAAATAATTTTTCAAGTGGATGTTTTTCACCCAAAATTTCCTTGTGGCATCCATGTTTTTGATACCCGTGTCCAGACCCCTTTCCCCCTCCAGGTAATTTAATAGAACTCAATGGGCATACCCGAACGTTCAAACCACCTAAATATTGTAATTCCATGTTAAATACACAAGCCTATAAGGTTTCGTAAAAATTGAGCAATTTGCCAAGGAGAAAAATGTGTTTTTTTAGAAGGATTTTTCATTCCATGAAAATACACATATTTAAATATACATACAGCTCAGTGTCATAAAAAGTGAAAGATTTTTGCAAAAATAGTTCTTAACAAGCTATTTTATTGATGTACATGCATAAAAATCCAGAACATTTTTCAAATAAGAAACGCGCCATTGTTATTTTGTCTGTGTAAAGCAAATAGTGTGAGAAAAAGAAAATGAAAACAATGCATATCACGGCGGGCCGATAAGCTTGGTAGTTGATACAAAAACAATAATGAAATAAACAAGGAAAAACTGTGTGCCATAAAACAAATAACTAATAATACTGGAACATTGATAAAACGTAAAAGGACATGAATTGTACTCGAAAAAGGTGTACAAAATGCTATGAATATTTAAATATGTTTTATATAGCATTCATATTTTTTAACATTCAGTTCCGTCTTGTAGACTTGTATTAGTTTGTCGATCGTTCGTCCTCGATTCTTGCTGAGTATGTTTCTCCTCGAAAATGTCTTGCTGTTGCTTCAACTAATTTTGTTAGATGCAATTTCAAGCACAAAATGTGTATAAAAGCGACAAAGAATCATTTTTTCACGTTTTTCTACTGTCAAGAAGCCTAAACAAACATCGGTCGCCAAAAAAAAACACGCATTTTTTTAGGAGGGGGGTTTAGAAATTTTAGGCGTATTTTGGCTTCAGCCAATCATTGGGAAAAACTATAGGAGTTATCGTTCCAGATGTATCAATGCTTTAAACATCAGGTTTTTGGTGCTGTTTAACAACTGATGCAATTGTTTTTATTGAATCATAAAGAAAATGGCTGCTACAGTTTTCCTTAAATCGTTGATTTATGCATTTGTTTTTTTTTGACATCGTTTATATTAAAAGCTGACGACTCTTGTTCTATGCATGTTTCGTTATTTTAAATAGATTTTTCTTTATTTTACCTTTAAATATCACAAGTTTAGTCTCTAAAATTGCATTTTGAAATAAACAATGAAGTTTATTGTAGAAACTAATATAAAACGAAAGACATCATGGTCGGCAGCCATGTTTTTTTTTTGCTGCTCGCTATCTTTTCCTTTGTTGCTCGCTGTCTGTTGAAAATTGGATAGCAAGTAGAGTAGCAATCATATTAAAGCTTTTGCAATAGACTACTAGCATGCACATTTAATATAAACGACAACTTTTTTGAAAATAGACATGTTTCGACATCTCATGATGCCATCTTCAGTATGAGTGAAATAATAGGTGATACAATGTTTATATAAAAGTAATATGATACATAAATTACAACAATAAAAAGGAAATAAGATAAATTAATGAGGAGCGTCCGAGCGTATTATATACTAAATATTGTATTGAATTTAAAAACTTTAACATTGAGGTCAGGGTTAGTTTTGTTAATGTGGAGTGCTTCTTTGATTTTAAGGGAGAATGAGGTGTAGGCAGTGTCAATGACTTCGAAGCAAGAGGGTGAATAGTTGGTTTTACATGAATGAGATTTAAGAAGGTGTCGGTAGATATGAGAGTTTTTGTCTGTTGTGGTATGTTCCCTGATTCTGGTGGATAAATGGCGCGAAGTGTGGCCAATGTATCGAGAATTACATCCCGCGCAATTGAATTCATATACCACCATAGATTTAATTGAATCAGGGATTGGGTCTTTGAATGAGAAAAGGTTTTTGATTTTGAATGATGTGAAAATTAGTCGAATGTCAATATCTGTACAGAAGCGTTTCATAATGTTTGTATGTCTGCGCTGTGTGTGTCATGAGTAATGTCCGATGTATGGTAGTTTGAAGTATAGAGTTGTTATTTTGGAATTTTCATTTGTGTTGGTTGTGATCGTCGTGTCAGGAGTTTCGGTGTCTAGTTTGATGTTGTTGCTTTGTTTGTTGTCGAGATATCGTTTTACGGTTCTGTTAATAAAGTGAAGTGGGAAAGAGTTTCGTAAAAGAGTGGATGTGATGTTTTTTATGTCTCGTTGAAAGCCATTGTTCGTATTGTTAAGTTTGTATGCTCTGTCGATTAGTGTGCGTATAAGTCCGGTTTTGTATGAAAGTAGTGTGAAACTAAAATAGTTCGTCAGAGTCCTGTGTATGTTGATATATATGGTAGATTTTGTTAGTAAAATGTCAAGAAATGGCAGTTGATCCTGTTGTTCAGTTTCAAATGAAAATCTAATGTTTGCGTGCTGTGTGTTAATATAATTATAAAACTTCATGGCCTCAGTTTCGTTAGTAAAAACATAAAAAATATCGTCGACGTATCTGAGGTAAAATAGTGGTTTAGTGTCGTTGTAGTTGTTTAGCCAGTTTCGCTCATGTCAGCCCATGAACTGAGAGCCCACTGCCATTTCTTGACATTTGTTAGCCCACTGCCATTTCACGTGAGCCACTGTCACATGTGAGCCACTGCCACAACATGTGAGCCCACTGCCATTTCTTGTCATTTTACTAACAAAATCTCACGACAGCTGTACAACATCTACATACCACATACTTCAATTGCGCGGGATGTAATACCCGACCATTGGCCAAACTTCGCGCCATTTATCCACCAGAATCAGGGAACATACCACAACAGACAAAAACTCTCATATCTACCGACACCCTCTTAAATCTCACTCATGTAAAACCAACTATTCACCCTCTTGCTTCAAAATCATCGACACTGCCGACACCTCATTCACCCTTAAAATCAAAGAAGCACTCCACATTAACAAAACTAACCCTGACCTCAATGTTCAAGTTTTTAAATTCAATACAATATTTAGTTTATAATACGCTCGGACGCTCCTCATTAATTTATCTTATTTCCTTTTCATTGTTGTAATTTATGTATCATATTACTTTTATATAAACCTTGTATCACCTATTATTTCACTCATACTGAAGATGGCATCATGAGATGTCGAAACATGTCTATTTTCAAAAAAGTTGTCATTTATATTAAATGTGCATTGGCAATAGTGCTTTTACGAAATTATGGAAATACTAGTATGATTATATAGTACTGTGCCAAAGGCTTCATTATTGGGGAAACACGGACCTACCGTAGAACTTTATCTTTTCTTTTTCAGATGGAAGAAATGTTAATGTGTCCTGATTGCTATTATCTTTCGAACTCGAAACCCAAAGACTGGTTTTGCAAACCTTGTGTAAGTTTGTCATTTCTGTGTACAATTACTCATTTGTTCTATTGGTCCGCACAGTTAATCTTCCTATTCGCGGCCTTTATGAATTGTCAATAATGTAGCCGACCCGCAGACTTGCTTCTGCTCTGTAAAGTCTGAAGGATTACCATTATTCATTTCGATAGAAATAGTTTTCACGGTCATTGAACGCAAAAATAATTGCAAAGCGATTGAGTAAAAAGGTCGGCTGGCCACGTCACTGGGAATTGTAATACCCTGGTTATGACTTCACCCACATATTAATACTTTCAAGTTTTGATCTTATCTGTACTATTTGACAAAATTAGTGTACTGGTACTTGAATACAGCATGTGTGTTTATGGCATGAATTTTTCAAAGCGGCCTTTATGAAACACCCGCTGCACTGCATACGTGTGAGGCTAGGTTCTTGAAACTTTTTACACTTCGTAATTCCTCCTCAGTTGCTACCTGGCAAATTTTTTCATTTTGCCGACTTCGCATCCTATAGAGTGACGTTTTCCATAAGCTGTCGTTTTGGCCTTTTCGATAGCAAGTTTACATGCATGCAATCAGTTCTGTGGAAAGGCCACATGCGCATTCGTTGTCACTTTGCACCATAGTTCGTAGTGGCTTGCTGTTTTGAGCACTTTTATTTCACTTTTTCTGTAGAATCCGCCTCACGAACTCGTGTGGGCTCAAATGAAAAGTCAACCACCTTGGCCAGCTAAGGTAAGCTTTTTCTTGGGTATGCGAAAATGTTATCGAGTAGCGTAGCCAGCCCGCCAGTTTGGTCGTGATTTGTAATTTTCAGATCATTAACATTATTTATTTCAACTGAAATCGTTTGCTTTTACGTTCCGAGCTGGGTTCACGTCAATACTATTAGCGACGTCACGACCAAACGTTGCGGGCTGGGTATGCGTCACTGCTAATTTTGACGTTACGACCAAACGTTGCGGGCTGGGTATACGTCACTGCTAATTTTGACGTTACGACCAAACGTTGCGGGCTGGGTATACGTCACTGCTAATTTTGACGTTACGACCAAACGTTGCGGGCTGGGTATACGTCACTGCTAATTTTGACGTCACGACCAAACGTTGCGGGCTTGGTATAAGTCACTGCTAATTTTCAAACCCTAAACACAAACATTGAATGCAATTAGTGTAGGAACGTAATAGTATAGTTTCGAGTCCGATTACAGATAAACATGCACGAGTGAGTTCTTTAAAGACTGCAGCAAAATGGCAGAAAATTTACAGTCTTTAATACGCTCACGAGTGCATGTTTGGCCATAATTACATGAGAAACTAAACTAGTACTTAATAATAATAAGGATATTTCTTGACTGTACCGTCTATAACTCTGTCTCGCCTCGTTACTATTTATCGTTTCAGAAAAGCCTCGTTACGTGGCCTAACTGTTAAAAACATTTACCCAAAAAACAGTACTTGTTCTTTTGTTTTTATTTTTTGCATTATTTTGTAATTCTTGAATGTGAAACGATGGCAATTGTGAAAATCTTTCATTACTTACAACTACCGTCATGTCCTTTTTAAATTGAAAATAAGTTTTTGGCTTCACTGCTTTTCAGCCAATCTGGTTACAGTATTTACAGTGCAATGGCACTTTTTTACTGTGCAATTAAACATTTTCACAGTGCAATTACAGATAAACTGCACTGCAATCAACCAATCACAGTCGAGGGTATGTTAAAGTAAATTATTAATGTAGAAAAGTAATCGTCACGTTACATTTATTTTCCCTAAGTCATATTTTTTCAATTTTAAGATGTTTGCTTAAAGCTACTATTTTCATCACTAGGGTGTTCTGTTTTTTATTGGCGAGGGCAATGATCGATCAAAACGACTCAAAAAATGTTCAATATATGATATGTTTAATAGAAAGTTTAACCCTTTTAATTCTTTTCTCGTTTTTTTCAAAATCAAGACATGCAGAGGCTTTGGAAGCTTTCAAAAGTTGTGTGTTCTATGTTCGCAATATGATAATGCGAGAAACTTAGAATAGTAATGAAACTGCTTCATATTAGTTATTTTTGATAGTTTTTTCTTCCTTTTTCGGCATATATTACAAAAATTGTCCAAAATGCATTACATACAATTTATTTGCATATATCGGCAATGCTTAAACCATTTGAAATTTCCAGCTTGCTGGTGCCAGTTCCTTCATTAGAAAATTCAGTGTGCTTGCAAAAACTCAACATGCAACATGTTATATATTTTCATCCAAGAAGCTAAATTTGTGGGTGTCCTTCCTATATAGAACACCCACACTCTAAATGTTGTGGGTGCACTGGCACCCGGACACCCACGGCTTCCCAAGTGACGTGATGTCATAAATTTACTGACGGATACAGAAAAAGCTGATGAAATAAGTTTCGTCTCATTCCTTACTGCAGTGGATCCATGTTAGGTCAAAATACATTATTGAAAATATATTTACATTTAAGAGTACTTTAAGGCAAATCCTATTGGGAGTTATTTTAGTCATAAATATTCTTTGAAATTTCTAACCAACAGCGTTGTTAAAAAACGATTCCGAATGAGCTTGCATGATTTATTTTGACCTACCCAAGATCTCCCAATGCAGCTTAGAATTTGTATAACATTTATTGCAAACCAGTAGCGTAGCCACAGCATGCAAGTTTGGTCATGCTTATAAATACTTCGTTGTTCGTTCTCTGTAAAATCTATAAATTTCTTCACTATAAAATAATGGGAGTGACACAACGTTTACATTACTCTGGAGAGAAAAGTGACGGCAGAATCGGACTGTGTTTACACTGATCCGTTTGAATTCTGCAACAGTTTTGCGGGTGTTTACAACTAGATTTTCGATTATGAGCTACAACGCGGGACGAATTGAAAAAAAAATAGTATCGTTTAAAGTGTAGCGAAATATCAACGGCTTGCTGTTTACACAACGCTGCGTAGCGCTCCGTTTTCGTGTGACCACGTTTAGAAATTGTGGTCGTATCCCTCCAGTAACAGTGACGTTTTTGCACCATTTTCAGACCGAGCCGGAGTAGTGTAAACGTAGATTAAAATAGCACAATTAAACTTAATAGTTGGCTAAGTGCAAAGTAAAATGAATATATTTTTAAATAAAATTATTAAAGTAAAATCTCAAATTTGTAAACTGTGTATCATTGCCGACGTGTTTAATGCCTTGTTACAAATTGTTTGTCTTTGTGTTTTAAGGTATTAAAATGGAATGAAGATAAAACTAAAGCTTTGGTTCGCTTTTTTGAGTCCCGTCATCAAAGGTTTCGTTTATTATAATTTAATTAGTTTATGTATACCGACGTGCCTTGCCATCTCTTTGTTTTTGTATTAACTATTCAGTCATATAAATCGTTTATAACCCCGGCGAACAAAATGGGGAATTGCTGCAATAAATTTTATTCTATATCCTATCTAACTGAAAGAGCAATGATTCGATTGTGGTTAGGATTCTTCAGAGAACCAAAACTAGCCCATCCTACAAAAATATACGGGTGTAGAGGCGTACCCACCCAGCTTGGAGTTGGCAGTGGCTTTGGAAGCAGAGTTCAATATAAATCTTAAAATTGGTATGACATCATGTCCGACCAATCAACGTTGTGGTTGAACTATTGCACTAAAATACTTTGAACGCTACCTGTAAGAGAAAAGCCTGATAATTTTTTAACGCCAAATTTTACACCCAGACAAAGGAGATTATACCCAGACACGCGTGTGTGGTTCAATCAATCTTCACTCCGCGAGAGAATCTCGAAACACTACACATGTGTGTTTGGGTGTAAGGTTTGGCTTCAATTATTTGCTTCCGGCAGCGTTCCATGTATTTCAGTTCCAATGTGTCGAACATGATTGGTCATCAACTATTCTTAAAACCCTCAACTCAGACGTCATAACAGTAAGTTTAGTTTCGTTGTTTTTATATGATTGCCAAGGTTGTCAATAGAAGCCGGTCACCCGCGATATATCGCCGTCTACTTTACCCCCAATCACCTGATAAGGAGACACACTTGTCAAAGGAGACACACTTGCGTGACTGCGTTAGTAAGGCTTGTGACTTCTAAAACTTTAAAGTAGTTATTTCGATCCTGCTTCAGAGCAACAATCATGAAAAAGATGAATTTCATTTGATTGACGAAAACATTTATGCAGCAAAAAGTTGATACCACTGAAATGGCGTCCAAACGTAAACATGAAAGGTGATGATCATACTTTTTTTATGATGCAAACTGTTCCACATGCGGCGACACTTAGAGTAAATTAACCAGCTAGACAAATGTTACTAATTGTCATCAATGCCCAATGGTAACTTTTTTGTACATTTTCTAATTGCTAAGAAAACACAATTTTAGATATTGATTTGTTTTAATAAATGTCCTTTCCTTCCAATTTCAAATTAATTATATCATTTGACTTTTAGACTCTAAAGTATTACTAAGACCAACACTAAAGTTTTTGTTCATATACACGAACAAGCTAACACCGTCACTGCACTTCTAATAGAAGCCAATCTGTGTACTACAAATCAATGCAGTCGACCATTTTTGAAAAATACCGTTACAAACGTAGTTTAGTGAATTGCTAAATCTTTTGAGTTTTTGTGATGACCCCTTCTAGTATATTAGTAAGATATTTAACCCTAACCGTTAACTTTCTTGATACAACCCCCCACTCTAAAACTTAATGACAACCTTTGATGGTGACATGGGGTTTAGCAAATGGTGCACTTTTCAGCAGGTGTCCGACCGTTGGTTTAACTCTGCTTGAAAACTTTAATGCTTGGAAGCCATAATGTCCATGCAGAACAACCAATAAAAGCCTATTTTTTTCATTTTTCTCGGAAAATGCCCGTTAGTCGACTCTTAGTTGAACTCTGCTTGGAAGCTTTAATGCTTGGAAGCCATAATGTTTATGCAGAACAGCCAATAGACGGCCATTTCTATATTTTTCCTCGGAAATTGCCCAGTCTTTGACCGTTAAATGAACTCTGCTTGAAAGCTTAAATGCTTGGATGCCCTAATGTCCGTGCAGATAAAGCAATAAACGGCTTTTCTACGTTTTTCTTGGAAAATGCCCGGTGTCCGACCGTTATGTTGAACTCTTCCTTGAAGCATTTAACAGCTACTGGTTGCACTCGCTATGTGATCACGGACAATTGTAAAATTTGTTTTAAAACTACTTGACATTTTCTCGTTTTTATTTTGTTTTCTTGTTTCAACTGCATCACGTGGGAATGAAAGATAGGTCCGTTAATGTTTATTGATTTGAAAATTTTGTACAACCTGTAAAACCATGCATGCATGTCACACAAAATCAAGAAAGAAACCAAATTTGTGGGTGTCCTTTGTTAAGGGACTCCTACTCTCAGAAACTCTTTGTGGCCGGACACCAATGTCTTCCCAAGTCCCCGGAGGGACTTTCTGATCAAACTTTTACATCTTTCAGAGCTTGGGTTTGTTGTCGTAACATCGCTCCTATAACGAAGAAGCCGGATGTAAAGAAAAGACCGCGCAGCTGGTTGCTTGGTTACCAGGAACTTCTTAAATATCAGGACGAGCTTAGTAAGATTAATGGCGGTGATGTAAAGCCTAAAATTGAATCAGTTGAAGAGGTATTAATTAAAATCCTTGCTCAAAAGGATGTTTTTTAATATGTAGCTACAATGTATGTATTGCACAAATGTAGCTTGCACAAATGTTGTTTATTGTACAGCAAATTTTGCCAAGTTTCGTATATATTAATGAGATCATTGCGCCTAGTGACTGGCGCTTACAGTTTTTTCATTAAATTGAGGACCCCCAGCCAGTGTTGCGAGATCTTGAACATAGTTCATAGGTTTTTGACATTTTGCTTTTTTCGTGAACGTTTGATGAACATTGAAAATTAGTATTTTCATCATCTTAATAAAGAAAGTATTAAGTTCAATGATTGGGCAATTAATTGTCGTATATGGACAATTCTCGAAAATCACGCACGATTTCCTTTCCGATGTATTCCCGCACTTTCCAATCTTAAAAATTTGATATGATATGAACTTTTTACAATTTTTGTAAACTTTTGACAAACCTAAATATTTAGAAATTTCATCTGGCAACACTCCCTACCTACGCCCCAAATGAAAATGGTACTTGTTACGCATAGTAATGCGATTCTTGCGTTGTCGGTGTTACTTGCTAAATTATTTGAAGGCTCTCATGCTCTTGGAAGTTGTCGAAAGTAATTTTTAAAATAGTAATCTGTGAAGTAAAGGTTGACACCTGATGAGTAGTCTGCCGAAATGCGTAGTGTCTTTTAGCTCTAAGAACAGTTCTTTCTAGAATTGTTGGGTTAGTGTTCTGGTTTTAAACAACGTATATATTGACCTTAGATTTGACATTATGCTCCTGATAAAAACGCTACACTGGTGGAAGAAAATGCATTATTGGCTCATTATTGTTTGCCATTCGCTTTTCCGGCTAAATGGCGCGCTTTGATTGGCTCAGAAATATTTTTGCCGGTAACACGTAATTTTACAAATAAATGTAAACAAACTTCGTATAGCAAACAGCGAAACGCAAAAAAAACGAAACAAACAACCATGTACGAATTTGAGTCGAAGGAACAACACTCGGAAAATGAGTTTGATTATCCAGATGCCATTTCAAACGATTTATTTTTATTGACGAAAACTGGAGAAGTGAAAGGTAACCTGTAAAAAACGAGGACAATATTTTATTGGAAATACCTCTGACTTATTATGCAAACCTCGCGCTACGGAATCAGTCTGTACAAAAAAACTTTGGTCATATATTTTTCCGTAAAGAACTCGCGCTCGGTTTATAAGGGCTTAATCCTGAATAATTTCTAGAAACTAGAATAGTTATTAAAACACACTGGATTTGAGAATGTTAATATTGAGTTCAATAATACACTCCACGGTGGAATATATAAGTTCTCAAAGTTCAATTTAAAATCACCCTTACTAAAAACACTAGCCTGGAGTATATTTAGGACTCAAGGTTCAACGTGTGATCATTTTTTTCTGTGGAGACATTAGACTGGAGTTTGCAAGAACCTGCTTATTAATATCAGTCACTTTATTGAGAGAAAAACTAGACTTGATTTATACTGAAACAAGTCTTTACATCCTATCACGTGGTAGGCGCTGAATTTTAATAAGTATTTATGATTTGTTAGGAGGATACAACCGACGTGGACAATGATTCTCTCTCAAACGAACCTCTCAGCTATTTTGTGTCAGTTTCTTGTCAAACAGACAAAGACAACAACAAAATGATCATTGGCAAATTACGGCAACGCATTGACGATCTTGAACAGGACTTAAAACTCACGAATGATAAGGTAAAACTTAAGCAAGAGGATGACATGTATGGTCACTTGTGTACTGTGAAAGAGAACGGAGCATGCGTAAACGGAGATACGAAAAGAACGCTACAAAAGCTAGTGGAGAGCCTTGAGAGAAATCTACCTGGACAAAATGGTGGACATCAGAACAAGGATTTCACCGACATTGATCGTTTGCTCGAGATGAGAATGTTAAAGTTTAAATCAGCGTGGGAAGTGAAAACACAGGAAGATATAAATCAAGTGAAAAATGAACTCACTTTGAAACACGAGAAAGAAATACAAGAGCTTCTTGAAAAGGAGCAATCACAACGACAACAATTCACCGAGACTCTAGTGAAGCAAAAGCTTCAGGAAATGGAGGAGACAAAGAAAGCATTGCACATGAGTCATCAACAAGAATTAGCCGAAATTCGTAAAGACTTTGAACACCGGCGGCGGGAATTTGAAGAATCTCAAAACACATTGCTGCGACGTAATGCTGCCGAGGCAAACGAGCTTCGAACTTTTTACGAACATAGGCGACGACGTGAACTCGAGGACGCTCGTTCCAGTCTAATACATTGTCACGAAATTGAAACACACAAACTACGTAATGCTTTGAATCTTGAACGTCAGAACGTTATGGCGAAATTAAAACGTGAACACGAAGAAATTTTGCGGGACGTTGTACGCGAAACTAAACGTAAGCAGTGGTGTTGTAATTGCGAGCAAGAAGCGTCGTATCCTTGCTGCTGGAACACGAGTTACTGCAGTCGACAATGCCAAGTAATTCACTGGCAACAACATCGCCTGCAATGTAGTAGGAACCTCGTATATTTCTCAAATCCAACCGGTAGTATTTAGCACTTAGTTTTCAGATCACCTTGTTGTCAACATTGCATCTCCAAGCGATCATTTTTGCACAATGTGTGTGCACATTTTTGCACAGCGTACGTCACTCGTCTGCCTAACCACTGCTCAAATCGCAAAATTTACCACTATCGAACTTAATTATGATTAGAATTTTGTGAGCTTTTGATCTTCGACTTACGTCAGTCTATGGGAGAACTCGGATACAATAAGAATTTTGTTACTCTATTAAGACTTATCGTAAGTGGAGGGGAGATTAAGAGTTTTGGTTATACCCAGTTAATTTTATTTATTCAGCTACTGTGTAAGGCATGGTTCAGCTACCACTGCATGATTTAGTGCGTCTTTAACTAAAGATATTTTAATGAAATCAATGAGAATAATGACACAATTTTAAACAACATTGCATCTTGAGTTCCTCCAAACATAAAATTACGATTCTCGTGCTTATCTTTGTATATGTGTATTAGTCTTTATGTTGATCTTGAAAAGTAAAATTTACATTGATTTTATTTGCCTATTTAAATAATTAAAATAAAGAAATTCACAAGTACAAAGTAGTGAACCAGGGGCATTGATGTGTTTTGAATGTGGTGGTGCCGAATCTCAAAATTTCAAGTTTTTAATCTCTAGATTAACAAAAACAATTGCGTCATGGTATTTTTATGAAAATATGTAATCATCCACAAACCAATAGTAGAAACTGCTTGTTTAAAGTATACTTCATCATATTATAATGTTACAATCATACATTATTAATGTATTGCAACCTATATTTTTGCCATCTAAAAAGCGTGAGAGCACTTTGTAAATGCCCCAATTTTCACCACTTGCCCAAAGAAGTGAAAGGTATAAGTTCTAATTTAACTCAAAGAGGAAGAAGGGGAATTTTGTTTTTAACCAATCAGCGATATGTTGACGTTTTTGAAAATTAGCGCGAAACGCAAATATGCAAACAAAAGGAGTGAGAAAACTGCACTTTTTTGAAGCCTTTGGTGAGCTACGTTTTTGAGTAAATAAATAAAAAACCAAAGATTCATGTAAAGCAACACTTTTTCTTAAAATTCCTGTTGAATTTCGTCCTTGAACCGAATTGTGGGTTGTTGAACAACAGCCATTTTGCACGCTCCAAGTAGTATTAATCATTTCCTGGGTTTGCTAGAGTTACCTAATTTATTTGCGCAATTTAGCAAATTCTTACACAACGAACAACTTATTATCTTAATGAGTTCGAAGAATTTAATATTTAACACGCGTCATCTTGTTAATTCTTGTCGGAAGTATGTCATGTAAGCCTATAGCAACCAAAGGTCTCGCCATATTTGTCATTGACAGTGAAACAGCAGCGAACAAAATTCAACGGACTATACCATTAACCAATGTCACTTTTGGTTGGTCAACTACCTTCAAATAATTCTCGATATATATAGATATGACGTCATATCTACAATTAATAGTTCTTGAATTATGGATGCCATTAATAGTCCAGGCGGTGATGAGGTAGGTATCACCTGAGCGGGTAATTTACGGGAGTAGGACTATCTAGACCAGTTTTTGGCGTAGAACACGAATCCGCATGTTATTCAGTCCGACAAGGCTGCTTTTAAGAGTTATTTCCAGATATTGCGCAATTCAGCCTCATTTTCATGCAAAATCAAGCGTTTTTAAGATTTAGCTATTATTATTAATAATTAAAAAAACACGTCTACTGGAACAATTTTGAAACTGGAAAGACGTTTCTATTCAAAAAAATTATCCAAAAACCTGTGTTTGACTATATTTCCAGTATATAGCCTCGTTTTCGTGCAAAAATATAGTCTTTAGTTCATTGGGATGCTTAAAAAATTAAACTGAAAACAAACTTGAAAGGCTTGTTATAGACTTACAAATTTTGTTTTACTATGGATTGACCATATCCTAATAAAAGATAAAGTACTTACCCGCTATAATATTATTCGTTTTCAAAATGGCGGCCATGCTTAAAGAGTTGAAATACATGAATAAATTATGAGTAATTTGAAGTGTATGATACACTACAAACATCTTGATACTACAAATGAAATAATTACTGGAGTGAATGAAGATACTTATAAAAAATTAAAAGACAGTAAAGGTGCTCGGCTTTCTTTGGGTGGTGAATATATTCACAAGGAACAAATTGAGAATTTGCCAAGTTCATTTAATGCTGAAACGCAAGATGCTGGTTTCGAAGAAGTTGTGCACCAAGCAGGACTCTGTACCTCCGGAGGAATCAAATGTGTTTTGTCTGGGAAACATTACAATCGGAGTTGGAGGATTCATGAATGTTTTGCGGAGGCAATTGAGAGACTGTTTTGCGAAACTCTAGTCAGTAGTTGTCCAGATGAATTGGAAACAATGATTAAGGAGATCGTAACAGACGTGGATTGCAAAGATATTATTTCGCAAAGACCATTCAGAGCGTACGAAGAAGAATACATGAAGAAAAAGATGGAATGTCTTCAGGACCACCACGGGAAAACTGCACAATTCTGGATGAGCTACTTGGATCTAATCGAAAGGCTACACGAACTGCACTTCTCAGTTAACACGAATGACTTTCAACTGAGACTTCACTGCTGGAGAGAGTTAATTTCGCTCTGCTTTTCTACCAACAAGCAGAACTATGCACGTTATGGCGCATATTATTGCCTTCAGTCTGAGAATTTGGACAAGACCCACCCAGTTGCACTTAAAGAGTGCTACTATCAGCGCTACGATCATTGATTGAAAACGACGCGCAATTTCCCGACGATCAATATGCTCATAGAATCTATATTCTAGATAACGCAGCTATTATTCGAAGTATGGTAAAGGTACCGAACGCGTTTAAAGATGTTGCTTTACGACTGCTGTCAGATCTTCCAATGCGGTATAACATCGTTTACGTTGCATGTGATACGTACAGGGATCGTTCGATAAAGAACAGTGAACGCGACCTTCGAAGTGATGGCGACAAGTTTGTTATTACAAGTGCGAATGTGCGCGTACCAGCTGATTTCAAGAAGTTCCTTGGTAACAGAAACAACAAGGAGCGACTTTTTGAGCTTATCGAAGAAGTGTGGGTTCAAAATAGGAACCAACGAGGACAACGTGTTGTATACTTCGCTAGGGGGAACGCCTGCCTCAAGATAACAGAAACGGTTCTTCTTGTGTAAGAGAACTAGCAACAGACCACGAAGAGGCTGATACTAAGATCGTGTATTTGATTCAGCATGCATCCTACCATAGCAATGGTCAACAAATAGTCTGTGTGGTAGGATCAAGTTCCGGCGACATCGATATTCCCATAATTTTACTTGGAATGGAGCCAATCGGCAATGTGGCAATCTACATCGACAACGGTTCTGGAAAGACGCGAAAGCTCCTTCACTTGAACATGTGTAGTCTAACTAATCAACAAAAGAAAGCATTAGTTGGCCTCCATGCATTTACCGGAAATGATTATGTGGCAAGCTTTCTGCGTAAAGGCAAGCCTTTCTGTTGGAAACAAGAGAGCAAAGATGCAGAGCTCTTGGACATTTTTTGCCGGTTGGGAATGGAAATGCATGTTCCTGAGGAGATGTTTATTGCCATGGAAAGATTTGTATGCTTCTTGTATGGAGAGAAGAAAATCGAACACGTTAACGAGGCAAGGCCAGCTATTTTCTGGAAAAAGATGAACAAAGAGCGTAAAGTAGTTAACCTTTCTCTCTTACCACCATGTAGCAGCAGCCTACGAAAGCATGTGACCAGAGCTAACTATGTGGCCAGGCTTTGGAGAAAAGCACAGCATCCAATTATGGCATTGGAGGATCCCCAGTTCCATGGTTAGCTCTCGAACTTGAACATTGATTGGATCGCGGAAGCATATCCTGACGACGTTGCCGAGCTACTTGTCGAACGTGATGAGGAAAGCGATGAGGAAAGTGATGACCAAGAAGACAGCTGCAACTCAGACGACGACGAATGATACAGCTATAGGTACTGTATGTGATTTGAATTATTTAAGAAACTACATCAAAACTAGTATTGTTGATTTACATTTAATGTTAAGATTTATATCAAATTACAATATGTTTGCATGAAAACTAGGCTATATTGGGGAGGGTCTTGCCATTTGAATTATACTGCACTTCTAATTCTAAAACTGGTCCAGTATACGTCTTTTTTTATTATTATTAATAGGTAGGTATCACGTCTGTGTTTTTATTAATAATAATAGCTAAATCTTAAAAACGTTTGATTTTGCATGAAAATGAGGCTGAATTGCGCAATATCTGGAAATAACTCTTAAAAGCAGCCTCGTCGGACTGAATAACATGCGGATTCGTGTTCTACGCCAAAAACTGGTCTAGATAGTCCTACTCCCGTAAATTACCCGCTCAGGTGATACCTACCTCACTCACCGCCTGGACTATAAAAGACTGTTTTGAAAAAAGTCAAATAACAGCGATGTTTCTAAGAACGATATGCAAAAGCTTTTGAACAAAGAGAATGCGGAAAGCAATAAGAAAGTTGCGAATCTTACTTTGATCATATTTACCTAAATATTTAAAGCAGAAGTACTTGAATATAACATTACGTATAAATCTATAGATATGGCGTCAGATCTAGAAATAATAGTTTCTGCAATTAAGGACGCGTTTTGAAAATTGATGTTGCCATACGGCAATGCTGGGAGAGAGGGGGTTGATGTTTTGTATGATTTTATTATAAAACTTTTGTTAATTAAGAAATCAGAATTAACGCCCGCAAATGTAATTCTTTTGCCTTATCATAAATTGATCGTTCCACCAGATAATTATTAGGAAATTTAAATCATGAAAAGTTAAATAGACGACAAAAGATTTTTTCTTGACGTAGTTGTTGGTCATGTTGGTTTGTGGATGAACACAAAAATAAGGACCATTGTAAACCATACCAGAGGAACAGCAATTTTCGTTATCACAACAATAGTATTCTTTAAAAGCTATGCGAGGATGATATTCGCAGCACACATTCCAACCCGGACAATACAATCTCCACCTTCGTACCATCTTTTGACATAGACTTCGACAGTAGTTTTCAGCCGCAACACTAGGCTCGAATGCAAAAAACACACGCGGCATAATATTTACATCGGAAGGGAGGACGGGATGTTTCGAAGACGGGTTGTATACGTCCCACGTTTATATGAGTTTTTACACAGTGACAAAAAATAACTCAGAATAAGAAACCATCATATCACGTCTCATCAGCCTTGATTTGTCAAAGCCCTTGTCTTTAGCGGCATCCGTACTACATCGTGTGAGCTTTGTAAGAAATTCCGCCACTACAAATCTCACTTTTAGAATGGCATATTTGTTCCGTTGTATTTGACTCGAACAAGAAATTACAGTGGGTGGTTCTGAACTTTGACTGCCATCTATCGTTTGCTCGCAATGCTGCTGTGAATTTGATACAACGCTGCTACAATTATTTATATCCGGTTGACTTTGACAAGTTTCGTATCTGGATATTGAAAAATTTGAGCATTTATACGACCAAAAAAATTTCCCGTGTTGACCAAGATCACGGTTAAAAAAATCGATCCCGACTAAGCGGCCCGAGACAAAAAACGTCCCGCGGTTCCATAAAAACAAATGACAATTAACTATAGAAAATGTGTAAAATCCGAGGTCTCATTCATCTCCCGTTTCGGAAGTCAATCCATCCCGGCTCTCATATAAACAAGCGCGTTTTGTGCCCCATATACGTAGGAGAAGATTCGGCCACCAAGGTAGTCTTGGGACACCTTAGAGGCAAGGAGAAAAGCGCAATTAGAGAATTTAATGATACAAATAATGAAAAGTAATTCCATAGAAGAAATACTTGCGCTATATAGATGAAATAAAGAAGAAATATATAGCACAGTAACTTTTAAGGTTTTATCATTATATTGCATGTATTAAATATTAGTAACACTCAAACAACACTCTGAACCATGATCACATTAAATAATTCAGGATAGGGATGGCAATAAATCATTTATCTTTTCAGTCTTATTATTTTTTGTAAGACTCTGCCTGGTCATTGAAATCTTCCAGTTATCTTTGCTACCTGATCTTTCCTGCATGCTGTCAGCAAATAGAACATACCAAGCCTTGCTCCAAATCATGTGTACTGTTTAAGCTGATCATTTCTTTTTTATATTTACACACAGAGTAAAATTTATGCAGGGTCTATTTTGCGTCAGGGAAACTTTTTGCAAATTGATATGCAAATTCACGATTTCATACATTAACAAATAACAGAAACGTATGCTGAGTTTTATAAACAAAAACAGGAAGACATCAGTATATTTGGCGTTTAAGTCAGTTTTGAAAAATACGATCTTTAATACGGATTTTATGCTTTTTCAGGTGCATAATTGCTTTTCAATCTTTGATGAACAAACAAAGAAGGCAAATATCTCACTTTTGAGAAACGAGATGCTCCTTTTTGTGGAAACTATGATATCCAATAATTGAATAGTTGAAATATTGGCATTACAAAAGAAATGCCAAAAAGATATTGTGTTTGTTTTTAAAAAATTCTATATAATGTACTAAAAATACCAGGGGGAGGTCGATAATACTTTTTTCTGCAAAGCGAATATTTCAGCGGAAATTAATAGGTCCTTTAGCTTCCACATTTTTTACAACAGTTCCCAGTCCACTTAGCCGCTCCAGTTATTATAGAACTCAATGGTTTTGCCGAAGTAATGGAAAACGTTCAACGTATCTGATTTTGCTACGATACGCTATGTTGTGCTACGATACGTTACAATATGTGGTTATTGGAAAACAGGCTTTACGTGTAGAGAAGGTAATTTGTGCAAAGATGACATCAAGGAAATAATAAATGAGTTGGATTATTTATGCTTTTTGGCAAGCAGATTAATCTTATAAGGAAGGTTAATCATTGTTGGCAGTTTCGTCCAGAAAAACTATACCAGATGTGCCTAACAGAAAGCGTAAAACGAACTAACTCATCTTTTAGGAAACTGTGTGTGTCACTCATCGGGAAAATATGAGGACATACTCTACACAAGAGCAGTGTTGTGAGTCTCCGTGAGGCTTAGCATATACGCTACTTACCCAGGTGTAGAGTCATTGTATGGGATTTATGCCAGAGATATACGAAAACATTGTTACATGTTTGTAGATCGTCCAGGTTATTAAAGTCCTGAGAAAGACCGTTGGTGTTGATATTGATTGACGTTTTGACAACCTTGGTGGTTGTCATAATGCTGTAGTTGAATAATTTTTGCCAGAAGAGAACGATTTCGAAACGTGAGCGCGTGTCATTAGCTTTTAGCACATACTCAATTCCTTATTTCATATTCATTCAACTTGCCCAAAAAAAATTTTTATGAAGGCAGTAACACTTTATCTTTATCTAAAGATGAAGAGACATTGCTCTTCGTATTAATGTTAAGAAAATGCAGAGAGGATATGCAAAGACGTTTAAGAGATTCTTTAGCTGTTTTCAGCATTTGTGAATTTAATTTCTGCAACTTTATTTGCAGTTTTGTCATAAGTTTTGCCTTGGCAGTCGAGAATCGAAGACTTTGCTCTATTTGTAAAAATGACTCTTCCTTATCAGATAAAGATGGGCTATCACTATCCTCATGCAAGTTTCCTTTATTATACTAAATGACAATAAATAATTTAGTATTAATTATGAATATACGCATGCAAATACAAAGCATTACTGAGCTAAGAGCTCACCACGCCTACATGCTTGTTGGTTATGTAGGGTTGGCTTCTTGGTTGTATAATGTTGGCTTGTTGGTTGTGTAAGGTTGGTTTCTTGGTTATGTTGGGTGTCACTTGTATGTTATATAACGATAAAAATTTCATTATGAATTTTAAAATTACGCGTGCCCATTTATTGAGGTAATAGCTCAGTACGCGCGTACATACTTTAAAATCCTTCCCTTATTGCAATAATTTATCAACATGTTGAATGACGGCACACGTGCCGAAATGAGGGAAAATGACAACGCACCTGCACCTGGGTAAGTATTGTATGCTAAGCGCAACAAGTGAATCATAGCGCTGCTAATAGCGAACGCTTGCGTGTAAAATACAGTCAAAACATATGAATTTCATTTCTTCACCACATGGTTTCTAATACTTTGGACATCGCAGGATTAGGACCTAGGAAGTCATATGCATATTATGATTTGAAGCCATTTTGCTAACATAAAGAGAATCAAAAAGGCAGTCGAGTTCAACAATAAGATACTAGCTGAAATTTGATTCAATCTAATCATAACCCTAAACGTAACCCATATTCTATGATGTTTTCCAGTCATGATGTGAAAACTTAGAATATTTTTTGAAATTGGAGATTGAGTGATAGAGATGTTATGTTGCACCAATTTTCATCCCTAAGTGTTTCCAACTGTACCGAGCATTTTTCCTGATAAAACAGCTGGCACTTCCCTTTGCAATAATAAGTTGTTGCTTATATTCAAAAAAATTCTTATTTCTTTATTACCAACATAACTCAAAAATAGGTACGCAATGCATACATGTAGCTAGCCTGTCCAGGGGCGGATCTAGGAGTAGTCGGATTAGTCATGAGACTAACGTTTAAAAAGTCTGCGTCAGAAATTTCCTGTAAAAGTTTTAAAATATTGAGTGATTTTCACATGAGCACGAACGTCGATATTTTACTAAGCTCTTATTAACCGAGCTCGAGGTCTTTACGGAGAAATATTGGACCGATGTCTTTTTGTACAGGCTGAGCCCGTAAGGCGAGATTCAGCCAAGCGTTAAATGATTTTTGCGAATGGAAACGATTCAATACTCGTCATTAGATAAATCTTCCCGAGAAATTTCACAATATTCTGATTTAATAACTGCGCAAAACATTTAAAATTACAGTAACCAATTTGGCTTAATTTATAAATTAAGCAGGAATGACTTGTGGCGCTTAACAAACAGTTGTAATTTTAACGCTTAAAGTTTTGTCTTTTTTCAATGCCTCGAAATCATTTCACGCCTCACTGAATCCCAGTTAGCAGAGATCATGTAAACAGCCCCTCAGTAAAGACCGAGAAAGCGAGGTTACTAAAAGGATTAATATATGGCATTATTTGACCCGAAATAAAGCTTGCTTTCTTTCTCGTCCTTGCTGTTTTTACGAGTTGGTTTTCACTTTTCTAAGTTTTTGTCCATAAAAAATAAATCGTTTAAAATTGTATCGTTTGGATAGTTTAACTTTTTTCCTTCGAATGACATTCGTAAATGGTTTTTAGTCTCGTTTATTTTGCATTTTCCTGTTTGCATTACGAAGTTTGTTAACATTTGACAGTAAAATTACGCGTTTTGGACCGTAGTCGATTACGGAAAAATAATGAGCCGCCAAAAATGTTTCCGAGCCAATCAAAGCGTGCCATTTTGGCGGAAGTGACGCTTGCCATATAATGAAGGTATCGTTATAATTTTGATGTCAAATTGATTTAAATAACTTGTTTTATCCATGACAGATATTTCAGATTATTAGAAGTTTGCAAAATGCCTTAAATATTCGAACATCCTTGTTTGTAAACGTTATCCGCCATACATTTCTATAGAAATTTGCATCTCTTGTGGGTAATTGGAAGTGCATTTTGCATATATAACTAGGCTTCATTTTTGATACCTATAGAAGCCATATCCAGTCTATTATCAGATCAGTGGTATGAATGAACTGTTTTATGACCAGTATTTTCATATTGCAAGTAAAAAATGTATACATCTCTCCATCATTGAAGTTTTTCTTCATTTTCAATGTTAGAAAGCGCATCATTTATATAATAAAGATCTTTAGAAATATATAGTTTTTTAAAAGCTGCGACTGCATTGATGCACGTGATACAAACAAGCAAAGTTAATAAATTTTATTGAGATAAAATTCAGAGACACATTTTTCTTAAACAATGAGCTTGTTCCTCTTTTTTGTTTACCCAGTATTTGACTTAATTGGTGACTTTTTTGTACAAACATTTAGCCATGTGAGTTTTTAAAAAGTGAAGACGGGAAAATTCATAATAATGACCTTCAACTCTCGTGACATCGCATGACTACAAAATGGGCACTTCATAATGCCCAGCAGAGATGTTTGAAAAGAGACAAAACATTGACATTTTCAATGAAATATAGTATTAGAATAGTAATGAAACAGAGACTTTGTCGTGGTGACAAACTTAAAGATGGATTTCAAAATAGCAAACTTAAAGATGGATTTCAAATTGAATAGAATTCCGATTCTATGTGATTCAGCGATTCGAAAACATTTTTTGAGCAACACTCGCTGTGCCAATGCTTATTCTGATGAAAACTTTAAAATTATTAAAAAATGTCGCTCGTTTTTCCAGCTACGCGTCATGGACTCGGTATTAATTAATTTGACTAATCCTGTCCTTTGCCGACAAAAGGATTACGTGTTTAATCTGTCTCTGTTTTAAGTGTCATCTCTAAAAATTAGGATGACATTGACCTTTTGTAACGTTATAAATATAGCATGGTTTGGAGGTTCTCATTTAGCAGACGTTGACACCTGATGAGTAGTCTGCCGAAATGCATAGTGTCTCTTTCTAGCTGTAAATAGTGGTTCCTTTGAATTGTTGGGTTAGTGTTCTGGTTAAAACAGTTCTTTTAAGAACTATTACATTGTTATTATCACCATTCACCATGGTATTTGCTATTTTGAAATCCATCTATTAGAATAGTACTTTCCAAACGTTAAAGACAACAATGTTAAAAAATTTCATGGCTATTACCAAGTTTCTTAAATAAATTCTTACGTTATTCAAGTTTTCTTTGCAACCAGCTAAAAAGTCAAACTGCTCACAAAATAATCAAATATTGAGTTAAATAGTTTTTGGCAGTGAGCAATACTTTTCAAAGTAATGTCATTGCCATGCAAGAAAACTCCTCTTCTTTTTGGCTGACTATAACTTATTTTTTTGGCTGACTATAACACTCTGGGAATTGCATCTTTCAACACATTTACTGAACACTCTTACATAGGGAAGTTATTTTAGGGAAAGACTACATCAAACCAATAAAAGATGAGTTGGATTGTTTCACACTTTTTGGCAGACAAATTATCTCAAGTGTGTTAATCATTGTTGGTAGTTGTTGTCTAGAAGAACTATGCCGAATGCACCTAACAAAAAACGTAAAACAGTCTAACTCATCTATCATAAAAATGCCTGCCAAAAATTCATCATGAATTATAAAATTACGGATGCGTATATAAAGCATTTATTATAAGTAAAGGCCTTAGCTTAGGGGCTGATTACATGAGCCCGGGAGCCGAGATTCAACCAAGCGTTAAATGATTTTGGCAAATAGAAATGCTTAAATACTTATCATCAGACAAATCTTCTCGAGCAATTTCACAATATTTTAATTTATATATCTACGCAAAACATTTCAAATTAAAACAAGCAATTTGGCCAATTTTGCAATTACAATAGGAATGACTATTGGCGCTTAACAAACAGTTGTAATTTTTATAACCTTGAAGTTTTGGCCCTTTTCAATCCCTCGAAATCATTTCACGCCTCGTAGAATCCCGGTTACCCGGGATCATGTAAACAGCCTTTTAGACTTAGGGATGTTTACATGATCCCGGCTTGCCGCCCAGCTAACACGAACGTACTCATAACGTTCTGTGATAGTTGTGGTTTGTTTAGGTTGGACCAAACATTCACACAACGTTCTTCGAACGTTCAGCGATGCTTTGGACATTACCGTAACGTTGTAAGAACGTCATTATTTCACGTGGCGTATGGTAAGCAGATTGATGCTTCTAAAATTGTTGTTGCCGAAAGACTTTTAGCTATGATTTCTTTAGTGCTTGGTGAATCGTGGCCGTTATATGGCAGCGAAATCCTACATTCCTGCAAATATATTTCAATGGACAAAAAATCTGTAGCCATAAGGCGCCATACTATTATTTACTTTATCATAAACAAATGTTTGGCGCTTTTCAGTTTATGATCATTGATCATTCAATCATTGGACAGTTATACTACACTTTGTTTAAGATTTGAGAAAACTAACATTGGTTACATGTGAAGCTGTTTACTATAACCTGTGATTTTGAGTCTTTTCTGATCCATGAGGCTTTTTATTTTGACAATTTGACTGGAATGGTATTAAACTGAGTATTTCACATACATGAAATGTTGTCCCATGTCACATATTGTCCCCTTTTCTAACCAAACACCTCATGCAGAGATGTCAAGGTGTGTTGATCTTAGGTTCATACCAGATTGTTTGCCATAAATTACAAAGGGCTATTAATGTATGAAAAGCATTTTCTAGAAAGTAAAATGTGTTCCTATGTATGCAGATAAACCTTGAAATTTGGCAAAACAGCAAAGTATTTTTCATGATCACTAGGTACTTTTTCTGATGATCATTATAATTTCTAAACTAACTTATTTCAGATTTACATTTAAACGAGCTTTGATCATATGAAAAGATTTATCATAACCAGTAAGCATGACACGTGTGCCAATTTTAACATTCATGTAAATATATGATTGAAGGCATGTTGGTTACATTCTGTTTGTATAGGCAAATACAATGCTACTGGTAATTGCTACATAGCACATCTTGCATATACTTACAGAAGATAATAGATGGGGCGGGTGGCTGAATGGTTAATGACAGACGGCGCGTGTTCAATCCCGGCTCGTGGCACATTTGGCAATGTGTCTGTAAACCTAGCCCGGGTTGACCAAAGCCATGTGAGGGAAATTTGGTGGGGGACAAGTAGCAAGGCTTCACGTGCCGTCCCTGATTTCGACTGATTGCTACAGCACGCGCAAGCGAAAAGATATGATGATGATGATGACAGAAGATAATAGTCTAGTGAAATGCCTAATAGACATTAATGGCATTAAACTGTCCTGAATTGCAAATTTTCACTCTGATAATTTTTGCTTAATCCTTGGCAGAAAAGATTTTGAGTTTTTCCTCAAAAGGTGAATTTGCTGGCACTGTATGTGGAGATGGGTAAAGGGTTAAAATAAACTTGCATGGTTTGAAGTCTGAGGTTTTCTACATCTATGAACTGTCCCTTGTAGTACCAAATTTCTAACTTAACTCATTACATAGAGGTTTGAATGGGGGTCTCTGGTGGGTCTATGCCAGACAACTTGGTAGAAATTTTTAAAGACAATATCTTTTTTGGAATAGCATTATTGTAAATTAAATTTTATGTCCCTAGACATGCTAATGAGTCATATATTTGGCATGATAATGAGCCTAAATATTAGGCAAAATATTCAAGTATTGTTCACTTCAGTGGTTTTTTTTTGAAAAAAAACGTAAGCAAAATGTTTTGTATTTACGCAAAAACGAAGCCCACAAAATATATTTTGCATTGCTCTAAAACGCTAAAAATGGCATTTCCAAGGTCCTGAAATGCCTCAGACCCCCCCCTCCAGGTGCAGAGTGCCTCCGACTTTTTATGACTGATGTTTGAAAAATCCTAGATCCGCCCCAGGCAGGCAGGGCATCTTTAGGTGTCGGTGGAAGTATTGACCTTGCTTAATATATGCATGTTAACTTTGCCGCGTAAAACTTCCTTTCCTTTATATTCTTTAACTGGCCTATCCGATTGACGAGAGTATATAGCTTTAAGTATAAACTGGCATTTTGTGGTCCGATAAAGTTTTTATTGTGTTCTGCATGCTTTCTCCACAAGTTCTGTTATTTATGAATTCAAATGCAAGTGTGATGTTTGTTACGTATAAGACATCCAAACGGTTGGTGATGAATTAAACAACATGCTCCTCGCACTATAGGTGGATTTCATATTTGCATGTTACATCAGGGCAACCATGTTGGTGGTTAAATACAAAAGAATATTTTATTAATGCTGTTGTGGGCGAGCCACATAAATCGATGATTCCCTGGAGGTTGAATGCAATCAATTTGCAAATGCGTAAAAAACAGTTGTGAAGTGTAGAAAACATGAAGAAATAGAGTGGGTCTCATCAATTGGCACACACCTTCTTTCAAATATA